GAAGGAAGGAAGGAAGGAAGGAAGGAAGGAAGGAAGGAAGGAAGGAAAGAAAGAAAGAAAGAAAGAAAGAAGAGGATGCCAAAAGACATACAGTATGGTTCCAACTCCCCGACCCCCCGGCCTACCATCCGACCACCAGGACTACCTCTTCGACGGCGAGGTGCCCGTCCGCAGCTTCTTGGCGGAGCTGTGCGCCGCTCAGCGGGTCGGGCCCATCGAGGGCACGGCCGCTCGCCCGCAGGTCTCAGGCGCTGTCAGCGGAAGAGGGGTCAGACAGGGCCAGGAGGGATCTGATTCGCCGGACTCGAGCTGTGCATCTGGGATATAGCGGACTCATATGGACTCAGTAGCGGACTCGATAGAAACACATGGCCAAGAGAGGGTTTTGAGACCTGAACTTGGACCTGACCAGAGCTGTGGTACATATGGGATGGCCTAGTGGATAGCCCTCAAAATGGGCTGAACATGGGCTGCTCAACCTCTCCTGGACTCACACTATTTCAGTAGAGTTTCTGATGCTTTAAGGTCATTGGGCCCTCTTATTCAAGCCTTTTGGTATACACTTATTGATTCACTGTATATTTAATATAACGTCCACACTGCCCGGCCGGATATCTTTTTGGGTTCAGCGTTGGTGGCTGTTCTGCTTGTTCTGCTTGTGCCGCCTCTGTGCTCAGGTAGCAGTGCTACGCATCGAGTCCAACCCATGCCGCTTGCCGGCCTCCTCCATCCTCTACGGAGCGACGACATGGCGGGTGGCATCCAGATGACCAGATCCACTCACCCTAGACTTCCAAGACCATTAAAAAACATGGTTGACCTGGTTTTTGTAGTGTAAATCCTTAGTTGATTCGGTAAAGCCTATTAAATCAATGGTGGTTGGAAGCCTAGGGCTCAGTTTACTCATCATTGACCTCTTAACGCCTTTTTTTCCGTCACACAGAGCTTTCGTGGCATTGGTGCCATCCAGGTCGACCAAACCTCACCGGTGCTCGTTCGTCGTCGAAACGCAGGACTGTCCCCGCGCGGGGCGCAGCTCTATGGCAGCCACACCGTGGCCTTTCCACGCCCCGGCGGCTTTTGGGGCTTCATCCGCCGCTCGGACGTGCGGCACGCCCGGTCTGTTCGGCTCGTTGGAGATCGTTTGGCGGAACTGGATGGAAGGCGTGTGGAGAGGGAACTGGGCACCGTCACCGAGGTTGGGGGCTGGAAGCACAGGTTGCGGGTTACGGATGGTGCAGGGTGTGTGATTTTCAGCTTCATCCGGAGGTTTCATGGGGCTTTCGGATGACTGATTTATGCGCTTTCCGCGCGGCCACCTTTCATTCATCCCATCCGAACTCCAATGGTTGTTGGAGATGCAAATTGGCTTGGACAATGTTGCCGAAAGTTCTTGGAAGCTTTCTGTGTCAACCTCCAGTTGATAGTTGTAGCCGTAGCCTTCTTCATCCTTATTTTTCTATATAGCCTTCCTGTCGCGATGTCAAAAGCCCTCAACACCCTGAACACCCCTGTCTTCGAGGTTTAGGCGATGATGGCCGCTGTGGCATGCGCATGATGTTCCACCCGACCTGCGGCAACTCGACGCCTTCGGGCCGCTACCTCTTGGAATATCTGGGGCAGATCCACGAACGCTCGACGCTGGCGCCCGATTCGCTCATCTTCAACTTCGCCAGGCGAGGCGAGCGACGAAGACCCGACCACTCCATGGGACGAGTGTTGGTTGGCGGGTCATCATTGAAATCAACCATCAACTACCCCTATGTAACAAACGTATACGTATTGGGCCTGTCCCATGATAAACCTGTAGCAGTCGGCAAAAAATCACCGTTTTAGAGAAAGGCGGTAATAGGATAGACCCAAGGGTCCAGGTATGTAATTAAAAAATGTATATTTACACTCCGACTCACTAACATGGAAGTGGAAAACCTTCTGTTTGTAAAGGAAAGTAGTCTTCCAAGTAGGGGATCATTTTGTCACTCGTGCCAGCATACGCGTCCGGCGATAGGTGGGCTTTCCGCGATCCTGCGAACCTAAGGAAACACATTACAAAAGAGAGTTGAGGCAAACTGCCAAGAGGACGCGGTGTCCTTTGCACCCCTCGCAAAGGCCGCAGCGACCATCTTCAACACATCATCATGACAAAAGACCATGCAACCGAAGAAGGCACCCTTCAGAAAGGCCTTCCCTGCACACTTGTCTGCTCAACCAAAGCCTTCCAAGGCGTCATTTTCCACTTCCATGTTAGTAGTGAGTCAGAGTATATAATTTTACAAGTCGGGCTGACGCCCGGGTGCCGTCGACCCCGATCTACGACAGCTTAAGGGACCGGAAAAACATGGATGGCACGAAGCATCAAAAGGTCCAAAGATCTGATACTTGAGAAGGACTCCACTTGTCGAAGGCGATAGTTCCAAACAGCACAAAGAGGTCAGGCGAACGACACCTCCTGCTTCATAGCAGATAGCCGCCCAAGAGCGGCTCCATGAAACCTGCCAAACATGCTCGGCAATTCATGCTTGTGCTATGGGCACGGGGTCCTACAAACAAAGGCGATCTGAGGGCATCCTACTACGCAGTCTGCCGTTGCAGGCAATTTCTATTATTGGGCCTGGCGAGACTTGGCCGCAGGGAAAACTGATCCGGAAAAGTTGTGAGGACAGGGTTAGGCCACGCAAAGGAGCTTAGGTGGGTGTCACGAGAGCTTGTGATCAAAACGTGTAAGAGCTGCTTGCAGAGGAATGCGGGGGCATCGGAAGCATCAAGTCTGAGTTGTACCAGCTTAGCCTGCTGCTTGAAGGGCTGTCGGGATAGGGAAAGAGCGGGGGATGGGTCGGGCTCCAGATCCGAGTGCTGTTCAGCCGCTGCTTGCTGCTTCTGTGCCCAAGGCATGGTTTCTCAGAACCCTTACAATCGCTGAGCGAGGACGAGGAGGCCGAATTGTTCACTGAAGTGACGCTGGAACTGATCTACCTCACTGCTGGGCGGATTGTTTTGCATCAGCATGCGCCGGATGAAGCTTGAAACAAAAGACGAGAAGACGACGCGAGTCTCGAAATGGGTCCGGGGAGGTGCGAGTTGCATGGCCCCAGGTCGTTGCAGTGAAAAGAGCCTCTTTCTTTGGGCCCAGCTGGCACGACACATGGACAAGTGAAGCTCGATTCTGTGACGACACAGGGGCGCAATACGAAGTTTTTTGATGAACATCTAAGACGCCTTTGGCTACAACGGATACAAACCATGTTGATGACCTGTGGCACTGTGGTCTCTTTTTGGATGGACTTGCGATATTTTGCCTTGCTGGATAGCTTTCATATTGGATGGTTGTTCGAACACGCAAGGAAATTGAAACAACACGGACTATCAGGATCTATCAGGTCTGTCAACCCATGGCGCCACGCGGTCTTTGGATATGTTTGGTATTGAGCAAGTAGCCTCATTTGAAGCAAGCAGCCTCCAGTCGCCTCCAGTCACCGAGCATCGCTCCGAGGTTCCGGTGGAGCAGCACACGGTTCCGCATTGGACGCTGATCCTGGCGAAGCTAAAGTCCCTGAACGTCATCATGCTCCTGTCCCAGGCGCACAGCCGCGGGTGAGCTCGCCTCGCGTCTCCGCGCGGGGTGTTGAGGACCGAGGTGACTAGGCCGAGGGTTTTTCGGTGTGTGTGGCTGTTTGAAGGCCTAGGCGGCTAGAGCTAGCCTTATCCCAAGCAGTGGAGTGGGGGAGTCTATCTTCCTACAGTGTCAGTGTGTGTTTGTGTGTGACGTTTGTCATTGGTTGGGAGGGTTCATATGTGGTTCCACCGGGGAGCTGCTGGAGATTGGGATGAAGTTTGGTTGACCGCCGCTGTTCTCGAACATCCCGAGATACACTCCCCGAAATACTCATGGAAGTTGATGCAACACCGTTTTGGCGTTTGGATTTCAATGGATTTCATCCGACCTCAGGGCCATTTTGGTTGACCTGCCTGACCTACCTCCTTCAGGAACTGCTCCAGCAAACGGGACAATTGGAGCACTTTGCCGTGCCTGCCTGCCTGAATTGCATGGGTCTGGCCCAGGAGACTGGGACCCCAAAAAAGTGACATCCCAAACCTGCCAGGACCTTTAAGGGGTGGTTAATGGACACCCCTTAACGGCTAAGGGCTATAAATTTAGACGCCCCTTGGAGGGTCCTGGTCGAGTCTTTGTCTTTTTTTCTTCCCCGATGATCGGCACAAGATGCTCGGCTTTTTGCAGGGTCCCCATGTCGGCCGGTTGCCCTGGTGGAAAGCAGCCAGGGAAGCAAGAATGCCGATCGTCATGAGTGGTGGGAACGTGCAGGACGGGAACGCATATATACAAAACACCATCGGCCGAAAAATAACGAGTATTGAATCATATTTGCTTAAGAGGCAAGGAGCGCAAACATGCGGAGCGCTGAGGTCTTCATTGAGGTGCAGACATGTGCCCACTTAACGCGAGTGCCTCAACGCTACAACCCCACCTGGCTGGAGCGGCGAGTGAGACGATGGATGTTTGGATAGGTTCACGGAACGTCGTGCGCCGTGGTCGTAGCAGAGTGGAGGCGGTTTGAATGTCCTCCAAGTTCCAGGTGTGCCAGTGAAGACATGTGGTCAGACGTGGTCACGAAGAGTGCTCGGAGCTTTCCGGACTTCCGTGGTGCTTTCCTGGCGAGGAGGGAAAAGGACGAGACGAGGTGGGAGGGCGTGCAGCCAAATAGAAGAGAACGTAAACTGACTGGTGCGACTCGTAGGGAATAAAAGAATGAGCCCCCAATAGAGATTCTATTGGATCCAGCCACCCTCATTCCCTGCGAGTTGCACCAGTCAGTAAAGAAAGACCAGTCTAGACCAGCACCACCCCACAAAAACGCGTGGTTGAGAGACCCCCCGTGCATGCTGCATCGATCCAATCATCGTCTCCGTCTCCTGGGTGGTGCGGTGCGGCAGATGCCCCCGAACTGGTCCGACACCATGAGAGGATGTACAGCTGATCTGATTTGACCTTCACAGTAGGAAGTAAAATGAAGCGAGTGTAGTGCAACAGCGTAACTAAATGAAGTCAATGCAAATTCAATGTTAATAGAAGTAAATACCTTGGGTCTGTCCTATTACCTGCACCAGTCAGTCAACAATTATCACTATTTTAGAGAAAGGCCTGCAACCTAACCCATCATCATCCACGGTTACAGGTAATAGGATAGACCCAACGCTGTAAAACGTGGTTCTGGATTTGAGTTCCAAAGACCATTCAGTTCTGGAACTGCTAGCCTTGAGTTTCGGTAATCCCTTCCAACAGCTCCAACCTCCCGACCTTTCGAAACACCCCCGTCCTCTATATGGCGACCGCTCGAGGTCGGGCCGTGGCTGGAAATATCAGCAGGGTGGTGGCCCAACTGGTGGTGTTGATGGCCGCCTGGAGCACCGGCCTCTTCAGTCGCTTGAAGCTTGGAGATCAGATGTGACCCACGCGGCGCGGCGCGCCCACGCGTCCTAGACCTTTGGTGCCTTTGATCCTTGAGTACGGAGGTCGTAGCAGGCGGAATTGGACCAGATGCGGTGACATATGTGACAGGTCAGGTGTAGTGTAGGCTTCCGGTTGGTTTTTGGCCGTGATGAAGAGCAGCTTTCCGTTGTGGAGATGGCGTAAATTGACAGTGTGTACTTTCGCAAGTCGGCCCTAGCCGCTAGCCTTTCTTTCGTTGCTCTATCTTTTCAAGCTCATTGGCATCTTGACGTCATCCAGAGGGAAAAAAACCGTAAGTGTTCGCAGGGAGAAGCACCCCAGCATCCACCAGGTGTTGATGTTCGCCTCGTGGCCTTATTCAAGCCTTCCCAGCTTCCCACGTTCCCAGGATGCGCTTGATGCCCTTCAGTGCCTCGGAAAACCGGCCCGAAGTCCGGGAAGCCGACGAGCAGGTTTCATCAGAAATGATCCATTCGAAGGCTTTTGGGCGGACCCACTTCCGGTGGTGTCCTGCCTGGTGACCTATGTACGCAGTGTAGGGTGGTTACAGCGTAACCCCGAACGGAAGCAGCTGGGATGTGCCATTTGATATCTACCAGGACCCTCCAAGAGGTGTCTATAGATAGCCTCTTAGAGGTTAGGAGGCGTCCCAAAACCACCGAACTTGGAAGGTCCTGCAGCTTTGACTTCCCATCTTTGAGCTTCGGCCACTCACCTCCACCAATCCAGTCACTTCGTCAACACGCCTTCGACTCGAGAAGGGCGAGCGATCGTGATTCTAAACAGGTGTCCTGTTTCCCTTTCGAAGCCTTTCTTTTTTGCAATTACTGCACTAAGTCAGTATTTGATATACTGACTCGGTAGAGAACCGGAGTTTGGGAGTTGCAACTTGCTGCGTTCGCCCCATGAAACTGTTGATTCTGTTCCCCTAGGCGTCCAACCACCATTGATTTTTATTGGCTTTACCGAATCAACTAAGGATTTACACTACAAAAACCAGGTCGTTCCCATGTTTACTAATGGTCGAACGGAAGTCTAGGGTGTTGATTCCATTCTGTTCCTGTGCGCGTTCGCGTTGGGCACTTCCCCACTCGCCGCCGTTCAGGCGAGACTCCCGCGTGGCCCTTGGCAAGGCCGGGCGCCGCAGAAACCGGTCGCCGTCCAGGAGGGAGGTCGCAGGTCCGTGGCGTCCGAGGTGCCTGAGGTGCGGCGCCAAACGAAGGAAGGAAGGAAGGAAGGAAGGATGGACCGTATGATGCCCCGAGAAAGGACAAGGGCAAGGATGATTTTGTTGGATAGGTCGCACTGTACACCGAACGTGGAGTTCACTCATCTTGAGTTGGCTGTGCAAAACATCCGGTTTGTGCACCAATTGGGTCCGTCGCTCCAGAAGACACATCCCGTTTCCAGGACGTCAAACACCGGTGGTGTTTTGGATGTTTCTGGGCACCAGTTGTCGCCCGGAAACACCGAGGGTGCTGCGTTTGAGGCTCTTCTTCGCTGTTCTCCTGCAAGGCTGGCCCGTCGCGCTAGCTAAGGGTTCTAAGGAAACCTCCCAGATTGGTTGAGGCGAAGAAAGAACGAGGCATCCCAAGGAAGCAGACTGGGCTGTAAGACTCAGGAGCTACCCTTGTCTGATGGGGCCGCACGCAAAAAATACATGTAATTATATACAGCATAATTAAGTATATGACTTGTGACTGCAGTGAAGTGGCTGTTCTAGGCAAACGTTCTTTGACTGAAGCTGGCTGCCCTGTGAGAACACATGGTCAACCAGAAGACAATTTTCCATAACAAAAGTCCAGATTCTTAGATAGAATGATATAGAGATCCTTTCCAAACAGGGTGGATTGATGTAGGTGAGTTTGCAGGAATTGTTATTTTTCCCCCAGGAATTTGGGATAGTCCGCCAGCTCTCCGCAGTAGCAATCCGGCGATCCGAAGGGCAAATCAAGAAGTTCTTGGAGCTCATTGTCCTTATCGCACGCTTGCGCCCGGCGGCCCCAGAGCGAGCGGTGTTTACCACGTGGTGTTGTTTTCTGCAAGCTTCGACGAGGTCTCACGTTGGTATCATCTCCGGCTTTGGAGCGGGCACCGATAGGCCGGCATTTGATCGCCTTTGATCTGAAACTGGTCAGCACCTTCATGTCGGGGTCTCCCATAGACTACCCTACACAAGGATCTCCATTGAGCACCCCTTTGAAGGTCCAGGTGGGATCAGTAGGTGGGATCATTTGCTCGGTGCACTTCCCAATCTGCAGCAGTACTTCCCTCTTTTAGGCCCTCGGTTGATCGAAGTTCCGGTCTACACGCCGTGCGGTCGAGGTGTGATCTTGTGCCTCGCGCGCTCCAGCCACTTTTTTGGATTTCTGCTCCTGGGCTAAAACAGCTCGGTCGGTGGATGTCGGTGGGTCGGCACCCATCGAGTGAACTGACAAATATGTTCCAAATGAGTTGAATGAGTAAAAGATATCCACAAAGGTCGACCGTTTCCTTGCTGGTGGCTGGGGCATTCGTGTAACACTGTCAACCATTTTGCTTGACAAGGTTGCCCTGAAAAAATCAGAAGCGCCCGCTTGTATGCAGTCGAGCCGATTCCAAGCCAAGTTCGCGCATCGGAGACGTCGCTCATCTTATGCATGCACTCCGCGGCGAGTTGCAGGCAGCTCCTTTGAACTGTCCGGATTTGGGGATGAGCTCGGCATTGCCACTCGCGCGTCCCACTGGCACTCCCTTGCAAAAGTAGCCCCCCTGTGCCGACGCACTCCAAAAGTACAGTTTTTCCACCACTGGCGGGTGGCAAGTGAGGTTCTTCCCCTTTGTCCTCATCGCGCAGATGCTTTGTCGGAATGATTGTGGGCTCGGCAGTTGAGCATTTTGGCAGAGGTGAATGAAACCAAACTCATCTTCCAGTGGATTTCAACTCCACATGCTACTAGGAGGCCGTTTACTTTGTGGAGGTTTTGGCCGCCAACTCAACTATGGCATTTTAATGAGTTATAAGTTATTAAGGCATTTTGTGTTATATAATGTTATATATAATCCAGACAAGAACCCTACAGACTCTACAATGCCCCCCTTGGTCTCCGGCCTTTAGGGGAAGTTGCAGTTGGGCCAGAGAGAGGGAGAGACTTGACAAGGAGTCGCAGATGCCGCCACAGTGCCGAACGAATGGAGGAAGGAGTGCCCAGACCATCACATCCACTCACTTCGGGACTCAACACCACCCCAAGCTCGGCTCGACTCCGGGACGATCTAACTTTCAAGTTGCTGCGCCGAGTCCAGCCCCTTTGGGCCTCAATGGAGCCTGAAAAACCACACAAGGACCTGAGGAAACGAAACTGAAGCCTCAGCTCAAGGCCGCGGATCGGAGCCCAGGAAAGTGCTCGGGTGGAACGAGGGCAGTTGGCTCTTGGGCTGTTCTTGCGATGCTTCTGGCCGGACCAGCTTGCTCTCCATGGGCCTCTTGGACGGCCAATCTGATTCATTTCGTCTCCGGGAAGACCGGGAAGTGCCGCCCAAGTAGGTCATATAGGTGTCATCTCCAGAGGTAGGTGGAAGTGGGGATAAGGATTTTTCGGACGCAGGCGCCATAAGAAGTTGCAAGTGGACATGCATCTCATGTTCCCACGACCAAGCCACTTCTTCTTTACTTCCCATCTGGTGGGTCTTGTGCACCCGAACGCCAGGTTCGCGCCCCCGGACCCGATCGCCCAATGTTCTTCCGCTTAGGGCGACTGACTCGGCACGCTCGCCCCGCCCACGCCATGATGTGGCGTATAAGTACAGCAGAGGTGGAGAGTGAACTGAACTAGGACCCGTCACCAAGGGGTGCGGATCGTCGAACGGTTCGGGTTCTGACCCACCTCATCGCTCTGCGGTGTATACAGCGAACAAACCACCGAGTCGACCACACCGGCACCTTTTCAGGTCCGGTGCGGGCAGCAGAAGGTGCGGTGTCGAGAGTGTTCGCGAGCCGGAGGGCTGGCGGCGGCGCCACTTGGGTGGCGGGAGACGGGTGTTCGGTGTTCGGTGGTCAAACGGAGTTCTGGTGTACTGGGGAAGGGAGTTCCTTCAAACATCAGCCCTTCGAACATTCACAGAGGTCTGGGCAGAAAAAGGTGGCCCAAACGGGGACCAGGCGGACGCTCCAACCTTTTTGGGGCCCCACTGTGTGGCAGGGGCGCTCGTGTTCGGAGTGCGCCATGAAGGAGTGGCTGCCAAGCGCAGCGACACCGGTCACACCGGCTCTTGATTCATAAACCCTTCCAATTGAATTGGAAGGGGTTTATGAATCCAAGAGACTATCCCTGTGGAACTCCCTGTGGATCACCATAGAATCTCATATCCTTTGAGGGTCCGGTCACGTGCAGACATCAAGACATGGAATCCGTGAGAAACGGGCCACGGTCACCGGAACACTCCCCGCAGACCCTGCTTTTCCCACGCATCCTGGACGACGGCTTGCGGTGGTCCCAGTGGTGGTCCCCCCAAATAGAGAGGATGGCACGGTGTCCAAGACATGTTCATGTGGGGATCGACTTTTCTAATATCTATCTTTGGGGGTCTTCTGTCAGTTAGCTCCTCGGGGCGACTGTGGGGTGAACGATGAGCTCCTCAGTGACCCGAGTCTCACCACGACTGAGACATCGACCTGTTCCCAGGACTCATGAGCTGCTTCAAGGTGTGCTCGGTCTGACCGATGGGTGGTTTTCTTGTGGTTTTCGTGTGGCCCGTGTGACCATCCCCAAGCAGTCAACCAGTGGTTCATCGGTAAAATGTAAAATTACATAGTTGCTCATCATAACCCATGTGTAAAAGGTTCAGCCCATTTCCGAAAGACCCTGAAATCAGTTGCCATGATTGGTGGCATTGATTCTCGCGGAATAGGGATCACCTGCGAATGAGACTGAAACATTTCAGGATCTCAGGCATCTTCCGCCCCTCTCAAAACATTCAAAACCTCCAGAGGCTGTTGATGGAACCAAGCCTTTGGGTGTTGGAAAGGCTTTTCCGCTCCACTAGCCTTATGCTCGCGACCCCAACTGGAGTGCAGCTCCGCGGGACTGTTCAAGCATGCACCTCAACGACCCGAAAGTCAATCTAGAATCTAGAGTGTTTTCATGCACCTCACCACTTCCTGGCAGCGTTTCTCGGGATCTCCAGGCTGTGCGACTTCTTCCAACCCTCCCGGGCTTGGCCTTCCTGGCCACCGTGGTGCGGGTCGCTCAGCCGCGGGCGTGGTCCGGTCGCGCACGCGGTCGCGCGACCCCGGCCACCGGCTTCGCAGGAGGTAAAGGGGCTGTGTGGACTGCTAAGGAAGTCAACCGGGGTTTGGAGCTCCAGGTTTCGATCCACAGCCAAGTATAGCAAGGTAGGGAAGCTTCCTATAGCTACCGGGATGTCCAAAAGCCGTTGGACTCGCACTATATATTCATTTGCTTCCTAGACGTTTGGGCGAAACTTAACTTCAAAGAAGCACAGACAGGACAAGAAAATATATTTCAAGTATACGTTCTCTGCATATTCTATATGTTTGTTTTTGTCACTGGGAGGTTGCGCGCTTGTTGTTGGAAGCTGCAGCCAGCATGCAGCAAGGATAGATAAGTAAGAGCAGCCATGATTCTTCGCAAAGGTGTGCGGTGAGTGCCGACGGAGGGGTTGTAGATGGCAGTTGGACTTCGAACAACAGAATCGGCGTTTCCCTCTTGCATTTGAAGGTTGGAATCGAACGTCCAATATAGCGGCTGCACGGAGCGGTATGGCGGGTGCATGGAGCAGTCTTAGAGTCTTAGAATGTCTTAGAGATTCACCTGGAACCTGAAGACTTGGACCTGCATGGAAGATGGATGTGGAACCAGTGGTTCTGCACCGTTCTTGAGGTTCCACGTGGGTCTCTCTCGGAACCAGGGCGCATGTCTTCGAAGTGATTTCGAAGTGACAAGTCTCATTTCAGACTTAGCACCTGGGGGCCTGGCGGCCTGACTTCCTGTAGGGCTGAACAATCCATCCAATCTGTGGTGGGGTCGTATGGTTTCTGCCATCCTGGCTGCTTCCAGCCTCTCAGGTCGATCCCTTCGTCGAGGCGCGACCTGACCTGCAGGAGAAGGACCCGACCTGGAGAAGGACCCGACCGTTCCATCGATTTTCAACACGGACCCTCGAAACCAGCGACGGCGGAGGGTCCGAATGGTCCTCTCACCGCGTTGTCGGTCCCGTTTTTCCATCCAATTCCATGAACAAGGATTGAGATGTGAAGAGAAGTGGGGATTGGTCCCAACACCATGACGCTACCGTCAAGTGAGCAGTGAATCGAACGATCCAAACGGCAGCTCTTCGGTCCGCAGGCCTTGCTGTGGGTCCAGCCTGCGGTGGTCTTCCTTAGCGACCTCATCTTCTCGGCACCTGGACGAAATTTCAACACAGTCAGGATCATAAATAGTAGTTTATTTTTTGTGGCAAGTGATCACCCAAACAGGTTGCAACAACGGAAGATCACACATTACGTGTGATCTCTTTTGGTGTCAATTTTCGCTTTTGTGATTTTTGTGCCAGGTCCCACCTGTCCCACCTACTCGTTGTTTCAGCCCAAGGTCGGCTTTGCCGAGGGCTTGGCGATGATCGTTCGCAGCGTCGACCGGAGCGCCCACCACAAGCTCCTCGGGCCTGGGTGGATAGGGACGCCGCGCGACACGGTCACGGCGTGTGTTCGGAGCCGTGCGAGAATGCCGGGTCCGAAGGGGGTTTTCAGAGTCGAGCGCCGGCGCAAACACGACCGCAGCCGTCGCGACATGATCTCACATCATCTTCACCTTCTCATTTTGGCCTGGGAAGACTTGGTTGGGGTGTTGTTCTTCGCCGTCGCCTTCTTCACCGTCCCCGGTTTCGCTCGGCCGGTCACTTCTTCAATCCGCTTCACAGCCTCGGACCATCGCATCGGGCGGATGTTGTTGGGCCCGGCCTCAGAGGCTGGTGTGGATGTCCATGAACGTGGGCCGCATGCTACGGGAGGGCCCGAAAAGCTCCAGAGAGGCCAGGTGGGTTGGCTGTTTTCGGGTTCCACCAGAGATGATCTGACTGGTTGGGTCATAGATGTCATGGGCCCATCATGGCCCATCATGGCTTAGCCTAGCTACATCATCAGAAAACCGGATTTCGGGCCATTGTTTCAGTGCATCCAGAGTCATTGTATAAGGCTGAAGGGAAGGGGTAGCAGCTAGATGCAGCTAGTATTTTGCTTCAAACATCTTCAAACTGTGAAATGCGTGGTTGCAATCACATTGCGCTGGCATTTCTATGCAGCAGCTTTGGGTATAGCTTGTTGGAAGTCTTCTGGTAGCAATTTGCTTTTGGTCTTCACTTTCATGCTCAGCTTGCAGACATTCTTTGGCAGGGCCCCATCAGCTTGCCCGATGAGCCTAGACAGGCGATGGAGTGGAGGGTGGTTTTGGGATCGGCCGATCCGCTCAACGGTTTTTCACTCTGTCACATGCCCAACCCGCCGGTTGGGCAGGAAAGAGCGGATGTGGTTCAGAGATGTTCAGATGAGACCCTCGGAACAAAGCGCTGCAAGTAAGATCTGTTCTACCTCTCTCGCGCAATCTGATGCCGAGGGAGTTCGCGCGGCACCACCAGCGTTCCACTGGATGGTGAACGAACATGTCCACAAATAAACTCAAGAAAGATCACGTACAGGAAAGTTCCATTGCGACATTGCGGAACCAGAGATGCGTTTGGAAACCTTGACCAAAAAGAGCAGCTCTTCGTCAGAAACAAATGGCCTGCCACCACAAATGGTTCCAGGGGGCATAGATTTCCCCCAAGTATGCGCCACATGCCCCTCATGGGAACCAGGAAAAAGGCAGTGGTCAAGTTTGCACCTGCAAAACGTGAAGGAACCTTTTATCCACTTCGTCAGTTGTGCAAAAGTACAAAACTCACCTTGAAGACAAGCACACTTGAACTTCCGGAAGACACAAAGAACTGCCAATTCATTGTATGAAATGCGGAGATCGTCATCTTGCTTCCACCGGAGGCTGACCACACAGCTGCCAACATTGCTCCAGTCTTCAGCGCAGAGTGTCCAACCTTGGGGGGGTGAACTTGCCAAGGATGTCATCTAAGACAGCTCCTTAGGGAACTCATCTAGGACAGCTCCCCATGGGAGGTGTGGAAAAAGAACATGTTCAGGCTGGTTGACAAATTGACACGTTCCTCGTCGATCTCTTCGGTATAGGAAGGATAGGAAGGTGTGACTTGACCACATAGCCGACACAACTGAGCAAGCCAAACATGTCGGTCTTCAACAGCCTGACCCAATGGCTGTTACATTTCTGGGGCAATCAAAGCATTTGCCATGGCGGCCTGTTTGGCTGCGTTTTGACAGTCAAAGGATTCAGCTGCGTAACTCCTTTCCACCATCAGGATCGTTTCCGACAGCGGATGTGCGATCATCTTCGGCCCACGGCAGTGTGGAAACGGTTTCTGGCCGTGCCGCCCAAAAGCGCCGTGATGGAAGTGGGTTTGAGTGACCTTCGCATGAAATGAGATGAATTCGAGTGCTGGAGCTGGTGACTCTAGTGGCCCAAAATAGATAGTGGCACGGTGTCCCATACATTTGTAGTTATATAATATAGTAATTTCTACCTATTTGGGGTCTGTATAGTCTTGTCCCTGAGCTAGACAGCGGTCATTCAAGTAGGACCACTCCAATAGAGGTTGAAGAACCCCATAGACTATGCCATAGTATGCCATAGGTACCCTAGTGAGTAGGGTCCTATATGGTCACTTCACCTCTCTTGGCTGGCTTCCCAAGGTGGACAGCCCTCAACCGCTACCAGAATGGCGGGAGGATGGTGGCTTGGACGTGTCCGGCATTGAAAAAGCTTTTAATCAGAGGGCAGGTTGAAGAGTGAACATGCATTTTTCAGGAATGCCTGGATTTTGGCTTTGTGTTGATGCCATGCCAGAGGCAACCATGATCAAAGTTGAGAAACTCAGGAGACCAATTAGTTGGAGGGTGGATGCGTTTGTGAGGCGGGGCCTTTTTTTTCAAGGCACTTCAGAAATCATGGGCGAAGGTGGAAGAAAAAGGAAGAATTCGATCAGGAATGGGAAGGAATAGGAATGCTTTCATCATCATCTTTCCATCGTCCTTCCAGAACCGACTCAAACCGACTCCAACGGTCACCTTCCTTCGGTCCATTTGGGTGGCGGCTGCTTGGGACAAGCTGAGGCACCTGGAACTTATTCGATGGCTGAGTCGATGTCGAAAACGACGTCGGGCGTGTGGTGGACGTTTCCAGACTGGACGGTCTAGGTTGAGACATGTTGAGACATGTTGAGACTAGAGTGACTCTTGGGATGGCGGTCGAGAAAAGCCTTGAAAGAGGGGGTCAGGACTGATTGATGCTGTTCATTTTGCTGTGGAGCATTGAAATCATTGAGCCACATCCTTGACCAGAACTATAGGTCACTAGGTTGGAGAGATGGCTTTCCTGTCCACATCTCACCGGTGGAACCTGCGGTGGAAGCTGACCTGCGCAGTTGCGCAAGCTGGGTGCCTGCATGACAGCCAACAATAGATCACTTGTTGGTGTTGGTCAGTTGCTTTGATCAGGGCCGTACATTCTTAACATGGTCTTCGCATGTCTTCGCAATATGTTGATATGCTTGTGCTGCGGGGTGCCTACCCAGTGAATAACCTCACCTTGAACATCGCCACATGAGTGGTGCTCCCCATTCAGGTCACAAGTCGGGATCCCCAAAGGAGGGCAGGATCATCAGGATCTCAGAGCTCATGGCGCGCTGGTTTTGTGATGTTCTTGGGATCAGAAGCTACTAAACCGAACCCAGACTGGGATATTTCTCCCAGTCAGCCCATGCATGGCTCATCCTGACCTGTCTCAGACGGACTCCGATGCCAAGGCCTGGTCCCGCTAAGACTGGTCTTTCAGTCTTCCCCAGCGACAGGGGTTTTGCTTCCGTGGCCATTTCTCGGAGGTGCTAGGCAACTTGGGACATGGAATGCCGTCGACGAAAGGAGATGGTCAGAACCATTCAGAACATTTCAGAACCTAGTGACCATGGCCATAAGGAGTGATGCCATAGATGGCCTAATTTACTGCTTGGCATTTTTGGTTGATGTAGATCTCGAGAGGATAACCCCGAAGCGAACAAAAAAGGCAAACACATGACATCGACCCTCTATGGTGACACAGTGAAGCAGTTTTTTCCAACGCCGTTCCACCAATTCCACCAACCTGACCCGTTCCACGTCCTTCGTGCAACGGACTGACTCTGTTAGGAAGAACGGCTTTCGCATGTGAGCCACGTCCACCCACCTGCACACGATAGAAAACGCCGCTCAAAAACACTCCGCCTCTGGAGCCCAGAGTCTCGTGCCTCGTGCCATGTCACTCGAACCGCGATCGCTGACCTCCGCGTCCGCCGGTTGGCCCCTTCCGCGGGCGACGGTGAGAAGGGCTGCGGCTCCAACTGTCAAGATGGGGAGAAGTGAAGGAAATGCACTGGTGATGGCCTTTGTAGCGGCCTGGTTGGATTAGAAGCACGAAGCAACACATGAGACTTCCTCAGCTTCTCCACGCACTCGCAGTTCGTGGCTGGTGAACCTAGGTGGCGATTCCCTGCGCCTACCGCTACACCAAGCGGCGACTCACACGTAGCGTGCGGCGTGCTGGGCCGCAGAACCTCTACCAGCTGCTGAAGCTGTCCCCCTTGGAGGTGGCTGGTGCAAGCACAGATAGCCTGAAGCAGAGGCACAAGCACGGCGCCAAGATGGAGTTGCAAGTTGTACACCCCCTGGAAGACTACATTTGACCCTGAGAATTAGCCCGTCAAAAACCATCCTCAATCTAGTGGCTTCTTGGGGTTCCATGTGAATCTGCAGGGGGGACCAAGTTGCAAGACGTCCAGGCAAAAGGAGTCATCGAACCATGCGAAAGAGTTTTTGGTGGCCCCAAGATCACCACTTTGGTCCCCGTCCGTGCAGGCAGAGAGCCATTCTCCGCATTTGCCATCCGGACATCGCGGGTGCCCTGCCTTAGACACCATGCAGCGACTTCTTGCTAATCCAAGGTCTAAGTCCCACCGATCCCAGGAAGTCACATGGACATGTATATGATGTTCCACCGCATTGCTTGGATCCACCGGGAAGGAGCACGTCTTTCCACTCAGAAGGCTTCAATAACATCTGACTTATTCCCCAGATCTCGACCTGACATGCCCTAGGGATCCAGTCATACCTCCTCAATTTCGGTACTTGGACCCTCCTGGCACCCACCCCAGTCCCACCTTCTCAGAGGGTACTTGGATCCTTAGGGATGGCTTTTCCTCTTTTTTTTCCGCTCCGCTGCGCCCGCGCCGCGGGCCGCGGGCCGACTGAGGCGCGGGCGGCGCCGCGCTGACCTCCGTGCTCGCCGAGGCGGTGGCGTTGCTGGGCTCGACGGCCGGACGTGACCCGGCCAGGGAGGGGGTTGGGTGGAGAAGGGCCGAAAAGGAGGTGACCCAGTGGGGGTGGGAAGTCCAGGCTCCAAATCAGATCATCAAGGTGCCAGTCTTGCTTGTCTTAGTGCCAGTCTTGCTTGTGGGGGTCACTCCCTGCTGGGATGAATTGCTTGGCATCCCTTGCCTTTGCCTTTTTGGGGTTTGGAGAGCAGCCCATATCAAACATATTTGTCGTCGGGATCCCTCATACAAGAATGAGAGTTCTTCCTCCAAAACCCTTCGTATTCGACGCCTGTGAGGCATTGAATACGAAGCAAGACTGCAAGGCAACTCCTTGCAATCGCCCTCCGAGCCCATTGAAGTGATGCCTGGCTGAAACGGGCATCAATGCGGTCGGGTCCCTCGGGTCGTGTCGGACATCGAACTTGGTACGTCCATTGGGTCCGGTCGTTGGCAGGGAACCGATCGATCGAGGCAGGGAGGTTCGAGAGTTGGAGCTGTGAACCGCGACTGGCGGCGTGTCATGTTGCAACGTCCAACTGTGTACGTCCAAGGGTGGTGTTCAAGTGTTAAAAAAGAACAGCGCGAAAGACGACACCGTAGGCAGTTCGAAGCACATTGAAGGATGTGGCCATCGTTGCACAAGATCAACTTCTCCGGGAACCAGTGGAACAAGGTGGCCGAGGAGGAGAGGGGCCTGCATCACGCCGCTCAAGAGCACCTCTTTGTCGACGAAGTGGCGTGCACCAATTGCATGATCTGCGTGGATGCTGCGCCAAATACCTTCGAGATTGTGGAGTACCCAGGTGAGACTTGCTGGGCAATGCGGGAAAATCACTCTAACGTTCATATGACTACTCTCTGCCCTAAGAACCTGGGCCCGAACCAACACATAGGGTTTGGTGCGGGTCTGGACCCCTGCGAAAGTGTCGGGCCCGTTAGCCACGGAGGGCCCAAGGATTAGTGGAAAGTGTGTGGAACGATGGGCCCCGAGAGGACCCACTTTCCGAATAGCAAGTGGACCGGGCGCTTCAACCACTTCCATGATTGTTTCAACCAGTGCATTATTCATGGCAATTTATAGATTGTGCATATATTTGTGTTACTTATATATATATAACAATATATATCATTATTTCTATTGCAATATAGGTCTCTTTCTGGTTCCACAAGGTGACACACTGGTTTTGCAGATGCGACCCGGACGACAAGGGCCCCAATTCCCAATCTGACTAGGGCATCCTTGAAGTGACTGCGGTGCCGGCACTCGGCTCTACTCCATTTGGGTGTGTATCAAAATAAGGAGACCTCCCAGTTCGACCCCCCCGAAGAAGGGAAATAGACCAAAAACTAATTGGTTGGGGGTCCCCCTATTAAAACATATACATTACATCCATTTCAGTCACCATTTTGGAGACCGACTCAGAGGCTAGATAGTAGAATCGTGTTTTCTATTTCTATTTCTCGGAGAGCCTCTCCAGGTGGGGATGACAACTACGGTGCTGGCAAATGCGCGCGCGTCCATACCCAGTGGGGCGATGGTGAGGAGTTGTTGATGGAGGCCACAGAGTACTGCCCACGAGGCTGTACCTGGGAAGCATCCCACTGGCTGTGACACAGCAGTTGGCATGCTAAAGTAGACTCTTGACTAATAAACTCCCCCATACGAAAAAGTTCGCGCATCCAAATGGCGGGGGTTATTCATCAAGATTCAAGGTCCTACATTATTCTTGTTGAGAGTCTTTTTGACCATTGGTTTGGACAAATTGGCACCCGAGGTATCCACTGGGTGGCACCAGAGGCTGTCCGCACTTTGGAATATGTAAGCCAAGCAGAAGACTCTTGGAGATGCTTCAGATCCGGTTGGCCCCAGCCATTTGGCTTCCTTGCTGCCTCCTTTCACCTCCGGTCCCGTTTTTGCATCCCCCACAGAATTGGTTTTATTTTTCTCGTGGCTCCCCACCAAAAAAGCAAGACGGGAAACATGTGGGTAGGAGTTGGTTAAAACAGGAAGACTCTCCAAGCCCTTTTGAAGGCGTTGGAATTGGGTTCTTCCAATACACCAATGCACTTATCCAATTCACACGTTGACATCATGCAAATTGCCCACCGACCGCGGACCTGCACCACCAGGAGTTCCAACCCTTCCTTGGCAACAAGCGCAAGAATCGCGGCTTCCGATCAGGAGACCGACACAGGGAAAGACAGGGCAAGAGGTGGCGAGTCTCGATGCAGGTGGTGTAGGTGGTCTCGATAGCCCCGGGCGACTTCGGTTCGACCATTAAAAACATGGGAACGACGTTATTTTGTAGTGTCAAATCCTCAGTTGATTCGGGATTCAGCCTATTAAGGGTGGTTGGAAGCCTGGGGTAGGGGTGTTGGATGGTGTTGGGAAGATGCTGTTTCTCTCACCAGTTCACACATACGCCGTACGCCTGTGTATACGAATGAGCATGTGGATTCGTTAGAAGGTCAGACGGTGTGCGGAGCCTTTCGTCATTCGGGCGGGTCCGAACCCTGACACAAATGGCAAGCCTTGTATACTCCCAGGCCCCCCTCTACCTGGACCCCCATGGGGTGGTTAATGGACCCTTGACCTCCAAGGCTCTATTAATGGACACCCTTTCCATGGTGCTGGTAGAGGGCGATACAGTTTGTCGAAAGAGTTCCTGAGAAATACCCAGAGAGACTTGGACGGAGTTCTTCACACTTTTCAGACCCTGAAGATGGTGCTTCAGTCACGACTTGTGACTTGAGCCTCTTTAAAATAGTCGTCGACTGTAACGGTCGCTGGCTATGTGTGTCTAGCTTGTTTGTGGGACGCACGAGTCGGTGATCAGATTGGAGCCATGTCCAAGAGCCATTTGTGCTCCAGTTTCGCACGAACCTGCCTGCCATGTCTCTCCAGTGCCGCGGACGGATTACTTGTTTTTCTTCACACGTTCGAAACGGGGGTGGCCGACGTGGCGGATGAGGGCATGAGAACGGGATGGTTTCGGCTCATCCCCTTTTTTGGGCCAAGGTGGTCCAGCTCGGAGGGGCCTTCGGGGCTCGGCGGTGGCACTGGACCGCCACACGCCACACTCCGCGCATTTGCATTGGAGGATTTCAGCCCGACCCCCATTGGTGGTGGGGCGGTCGACCATTGCGACTCCCATCCAGACTAGCCGGTCTTAGACTCAAGACCTCACACGACTAGAGGCGAAGGAGTTTGCTCTTCTTCTCAACGGGTACCCTCCGACTGACTAGCATGGAAATGGACAATTGCCTTTGGGAAGACTAATTTTCCTTTACAAACAGGGTGGTTTCCACTTCCATGTTAGTGATGTGTTCGTCGGAGTGTACCCATGACGGTATCCTTTGCTTGGAGATTGAACGCCAATGAATGCGCACGTAGCACAGCTGTTGGGCCAGGGTGCTCGGCCACGAGGGGTGCTCGGCCACGAGATCGCCCAGGTGCCAAGGGACGTTCCTCCACTTCGTGGAGGAGAGTGGTTCAAGTCGAAGGACGCAGAGCGAATCACCGACGCCCAAGAGTGTGCCTGGTCAGGGGAGACCTTCAGGTCGGTTCGGCGAAGGAGTTCGACCTCCTCGACCTTGGGTTTGGCCTTTGATTGAGTAGTCGTGATATGATTGGTTCATAGAGGGGATACCCCGAAGTGAACAACCAATAGTTAGTCTACAAGAGTAATAGGCAGTAGGTGATACCAAACCTCTACTTTTTCCAAGAGGACATCATTTATCATGTTTCATCATCCTCAGGCGTGAGGGTCTCATGGGCGAAGAGGAAACACAACTTGCACCAGACTTGGTCCAATCCACTCTGAATCACATCTCCCCTAGTGATCTAAGGCCTAAAGGCTTTGGGAATCGATGGGGTTTTCGTTGGACCCAGATGGAACTCTTCGCTTTCCATGCGGTTCCGGCTAAGAGCCGCAAGGTGCAAACCTCATATTTTCGACTCGTCACCGAATGGTGTTCTGATGTCGACTGGGTGGTTACGCTGCCGTCTGACCTCCTCCCTGAAGTCGGGTGAACCATCCGCAATTGGTGCATTCCTTCACCATCAGTTTTCAGGGGAAGTCTCTTTCCAGTTGGGGGCTTTCCGCAGGTTTGAGCTTCAGATGCCTATCTCCAAGGATGCGAGCATGGATTGGCTTTTGTGTGAGACGGCTGACACCTTCTTATGGGACCTGGAGCCTTGGATGCCTTGGTAGGTGAGGGGTGAGCCTGAGCGCCAAGTGAGCAAGGTGCTGCTCGAGCAAGGTGCTTCTTGTTACAGTGGTTTCAGACTAAATGGCACAGACTGAGCAAGATGTCTGTATTACATGGGAGTTCATACACAGTAACCTACTAAACTACCTCTTGGGGATTGTGCCATCCACTCTCAATCCTCTGTATGTGTCCTAGTATGTGTCGTCGTCGTCCACAAGTGGCTTGGGAGCCCTAACAAGCAGACGATCCCACGAGGGCGGGCATAAGGCCGGCATTGCATTCATCAAATGGTCAGTGGCTCGCTGCCGTCTGTTTCTAAGCGACAGACGGCTAAAGCAGTGACATTTGCGGGGTTGGCAGGCACTGCGTGACGAAGCGGGCGTTGAAACACGCAGTGCCTGCCAAAGGCGGTCATTGATTCAAATAATTAGTCAAGGCAGAGGGGTCTCCCTGCAACCAGGCAGGGTTAGAAGCGGCTTTGCTTCATGTCATGCCCCGTGTGTTTGTGGGGCACACGTGGAGCTTCCCGCTGGCGTGAGAGCCACAGAACAGCCAGGCTTCATGCAACGTAGAACAGCCGCACCACATGGCGGTCAGTGCCTCAGACACTGGAGGCCATGGCCACCCTGGTGCGCATGGAGATGGACAGCCCAGAGCGAGCGACACACGTCCCACTTCGTGCACTGCAGCCTGGGTCGAAGTGCATGCGTCGACCAACACAAACCACGCTTGTAGCATCTTGTAGCCAATGCATTGACTGGCGCTTCTTAACAAGCATTGATGGCATCGCAGCGGGAACATGGTGCTGCAGCCCACAAGGCAAGACTCGAATCTGATCTTCCTCCCTTGAGGCCCCGCGGACCGAAGTGTCGCAATTCCCACCTGGAAGCCCAAACAACCAGATACGAATGGATGTTACATGATGTTACAGTCCCAAGCATATGTAAAGGATCTCAAGCTAAGCCGAAAGAACCATTGTCTTTCTCTTAAACCGCGTGTGGGCGGTTTCGATACAGAACACGAACAGGCCGAAAAGTGAACTTCATGTCGTTTTTGTCGGTGGAGATGTTGGCGGGCCAGGCGGGACCCCTCGCAGCTCATTCCGGAAACGTCATGACTCGAGTCGACGTGGCCCCAAGCATCGGGAAAAGAGAAGAACCGCAGGAACTCATCCACTTCTGCGCTTCTGCATGCTTCCAATTCAGGGCCTGGCGGAATGAGGGAAGGCGAAGGCAGGTGGGGATATGGGATGGGCCCCCCAAAACCGGAGCCGTGACCGCCCTGAAGGTCGGTGCCGGAGGAACGAACGGTGGACCACACGTCGGTGGATCCGGTTGCATAGCAAACAATCCGGCTAGCCAGTATAGAATCGGTATGGCGGTGCAGAAGGACTGTTCAGTATCATGGGATGGCAAGAGCCAACTCAGGCAAGGAAGCGCATTGGGATTGCCTCAGCCACACATGGTCAGGGCATAGCCCCAAATGGGCAACTCTGTGCGTCTGTTGTTGAATCCACTGGTCTAACCCATCAATAACCCATCAAGTATCAAGATCCAAGTGTCTTCTGGAAAGCGATGTGCTGGGAACATGACATTAAACTTTAGATACTTGCTATCAGGTTTGCCACGCAGGGGGCAGGCATTGACAGGACAAATAGGGGAGTATAGACGTGGATGTTTCCCCACAAAAAGGGCTTCAGAACACCAGAACACCTGGTGGTGTCGCTTTGACGATCCTAGATCCTTGCGAAAAGGTCATGACTGCACACAGTCATGACCCTTTCCAGGCCACATCCAGGAAGATGTGAACTATACCAAGCCACTCACACCGCATGCCAGACTGCAGGGGCCCCTGGGCCCCGCCACTGGCGGGTGCGATTCCGACACGCCCCGCAGGACGACCGAAGCAAGAAGCCAATGAAGCCAGCAGACCCCATATAGCCAAGTGCACGGCCAACCGAGCTACGCAAGGATTTCCACTCAACATTGGTCGTGCGAACGAGTTCAGACCCAATAACGATCAAAAACAGCTTTAAACCCCGCACAGCAGTCTTAATAGGGATGTCCATTTTTTCCGTCTTCCTCGGGCAGCACCAAGAACAGCTTTCGCCTTCTTCCTCTCATTACCCAACGTCTCCTTGGCAACCGTTTTTCCATATGCCATATCACAACATATCACAACCAAGGTCCTTGGCAGAAAGCTCAATCAAGTCTATGGTCTTTGCTCTATGAGTCTACGTTCCTTCTTCCACAGTTAGGGACCTTCCCTATTTTATACACATCTAAATGTTCTCAAATGTTTCTCACTGTTCCACTGAGGAAGCCCCCATGTCACTTGGAAGCACTGGGCATCCATGGTTTTGTGCACCTCCCTGCGTCTACACCTTCTATGGGAAATGCAGCAGGGCTGCTTGGTGCCAGTATTGCCACTTGGAACATCCAGAAGCAAAGCGGAAGCTCAGCAAGAGCGAAAGGCTTTTGATGAATTCCCTCGATGAATCCATGGCGCTCTCTGTCGTGCTGTGGACGCTGAAACCTCAAAAGCAGCAGTCATTTTTGTTGTGTTTCGATGTGTTTTTTTCTTCCTCGCCTCCTTGGAAACCACACCCGGGAAAAGACCCACATGGAACCTGAACATGAACCTTTGGAGGACGATTTTATTCCTCTACAACTGTCTACAACCCAGTGAATTTCAGGTTCCATGTGGGTCTCTTCCAGGTTGTAAAAATGGAAGTGGAAGTGGAAAAGTGCTTCCCAAGCCCCAAAGACTCGGAGGCCATGAAATCCGAAGACCAAACAGCTGGTGGCCATCCATGAAACCACCACGGTACCCAGGGAGAGTAGGTTTGCGGCTGCGGAACCCACGACCCGTCATAGGTGTCATGGCCTTTTCTTGAGTGTGGGGGGTGTGCGATGTCGCGCCGTGGTGGTTCCGAGTCGCGACCTGCGAGGCACATCCGGAGACAGAGCCAAAAGGCCAATCTCTACCAAGAATTGAGGCGCCGAAGGTCGAAAACAGAGATCCTGTTGGTCTTAAAGAGCCCCCCAGCTGTTGAAACCACACCTGGTGTTCAGACACTTGGCGTGGTTTCTGTGTGCCGACTCATGCGAGAAATGGTCCCAAGTTGGCGCGCCGTTCCGCCAGGCTCTTGCTGGCGGTGATTCAGCGCCGGGTCAATTTGCTCGGAGGAGGGCGTGTTTGCCAGAAGACCCTGGCAGCAAACAAGACCCTGCGAGCACTCAGCCTGGGGCGTTTATTCGATTCTTGGCGGGCTGCAGCCGTATGGGTTGACGGCAGATCGAACTGTCCTGTTTGATGTCCCATGCTCCGACCCGCGACCCCATGCACCCGTCCAAAACACACGAAGTACGTTCGTGTTTTTTCAGTGGCCGCTGTACTAAGACTATGTGACCCTGAGGATGTGATCCAACAGAGCGGCCAAGTGGATCCAGATTTCAAGAAGGAACTCCAGGATTTGGTTCAGAAGCTGCGGCCGCAGCTCGTGAGCCGTGGGTGAACCGGTTTGGGTGAGCTCGCTCCGTGAGGGGTTTTCACCAGGGTCGTGAACCCCGCAGCGTGAGGTGAATAACCGTTCGTTTGCGTGTGTTTGAAGGTTGCAGAGGACTGAGGGTTCGAAAAAGGCCAGGCATGTAAAAAGGACATATACTTTACCACCCATTTTTGTGACTTCAACTCCACCCTTGGTCCTCATTCCTCGTCATGCCAGCAACGTCGGTTGAGAGACAGGCTCATAGACATCTAAGAGATGATCCCAAAAGCGTGTTTCTCACCAACTCGGTTTATGTCGTCCATTGCCCCTTGACTCCTGTGGAGAAAGCCCAACGTGGGGTAAACGGGTGCCGTGTGAGAGTGGGATGCCCAAAGCGTTTGAAGGCCTCGTGATCTGGATCCGCAGCGCAGCAAGATGCAAAAGGAACAATCAGAACGCGCGAAGGACAAGTAACTAGGAGAAGCAAATCCAAGTGAAAAGGATTAGAAGAGGTCTCACCATCCCATCCCAGGTTCGAGGCCATTGCTAGTATAGGTAGGAGGTCCTTGCTATTAGGTAGGAGGCCTTTCCAATTAGGTTGGAGGCCATCGCTAGTAGGTTGGAGGTTGGAGGCCATTCCTAGTAAGCTGGAGGCCATCGCTAGCAGGTTGGAGTTGGAGGCCATTCCTACTAGGTTCGAGGCCATCGCTAGTATCCTTTGTCTCCTTAAGCCATCATAGTTCAATGGGGCCGCTGCGGCGGGTCCTCCCAGATCTGGACTTCGACTTGATGAAGTCTGTCGGGAGATCAACGGGACGCCTTTGGGCTACGCCCTAGAACCATTCCAATCGTTCCTAGCAGAAATTTTTAGAGGACGTGATTGTTTTTTTTTTTTTTTTCCCCGTCAGGGTTGCAGCATTCTGATCAAGCAGTGGAGGCTTGCGATGTCATATTGCCATTCGTTTGTTGGACATTTGACGGGTCGGCTGTGAGTGACCGATGGCAGAAGCAAGGCTCCGAAAGTGCTGGCAACGACCCTGCGCCACTTTTGTCACCAATCTTCTCCGTTCAGGGCTCGGACGGTCAACGATGCAGGTGACCATCATGCCGACCCATGCAACAGGAGGAGCAGCAGCACTGCTCTTCCATTTGCCAGCCATATCGTTTGGCAGACTAGATTCACTGGGTCAAGACGAGCACCCTAAAACCTATATAGTGTGGCCATGCACGGTGGTCAGTTTTGTAACGGCACGATGACACGGATGAAGCGGAGCTGAATGGGAAAAAAGGCCTGCGCTGCGATGGCGCTGCGTTTGCCAGCGCCGGACGTTGAGTTGACATGGTTTTCTCGCTTGGACTGACTGGTCCAGGTGGCTCGCATACCTGGTCAGAACCTATAGACTCTAGACCTCCCAAAGAACCTCTGAAAGAAAGAAATCGACCAGTCTCCAAATCGCCGCCTTCGTTGGGGCTCATGCCAGTAATGGAAGGCCGCTTGTTTTATTGCAGGCAGTTCTCTTCCCACAAATGCTTGAGGAGTTCTTTAGCGTCTCCCAATGCACAGCCAGACAAGCAAGACTCGTGAGCCCCTTAAATCCCTCAAGTTTGAATCCCTGAATGGAAGGAAAATGAGGACACGCGGGCATCGTGTCTCTCATTCTGGAAAAGGTGTCCTTCTAGCCCATCAAGCGTCAAAATGCAGCACAAAAAACGGGTCACTGACTGGGGCTTCTAGCGAAATGAAGCCTCGTCGACAGAGGACAAACAAATTTCGATCCCATCAAGGGCTTTCAAGTCTGGCCGCTTGGGCTGAAATCGACGTTCTCTTCCGGACGGCCGTCCTCAGGCTCATTAAGCATAATTATATACCCCCCCCTTAGAGGACCGCATGGAACCCCGAAACCACTGGGTTGTAGAGGAAACTGGTCGAAACCGCCGGTCAATTCTCGGGTTCCATGTTAGTTTGCGAGAGAGTCAGTGTTCGAAAACAGTTGAAGTGCAACTCTTGAGATATTGGTGCTTGGCTTTCTTGTGCCTTGGGCGCTTGCACAGTTGACGAATCTGTGACGAAACTGGTTCAAGAACAAGTCTTATCTCCAGACATGTTCAGACAGCAGCCCAGAGGTAGTCAGACTGTTCCCAAATCCTCTTTGCGGGGCGTTGGGGCGTTGGGAATTCTCAGGTGGCCGCTTGAGGAAGGAATGGCCATGATCGAGTCAGGTAACATTTGCCCCAGCGACGGAGCTGGGCGTTCCTTGGCAGATCACGGATGGGCACGTTCGAACAAAGAGACATGGATCTAGAGACCCTTTGAGAAGGTAGTTGGCACACAGACCCTGTGGGTTTGGAGGATGCAAGGAGATCTTGTGAGATATGCCTTGAGAAGGCATGTAGGAGCTTCTTGTTACTAGTAGTAACAAGAAGCTATTAGAATTAAAGTAAATCTAAATTGAATTGATAGCTTTTTTGTTGCTACTAGTAAGGCACCTGTTACTACTAGCGTGGCACTTGTTACTAATAGCTTCTTGTTAATGTTCAGGGAATGAAGCCATTGTTTCACGTGGATTTTCGGGACCGACCGCCGTAGGCAGTCCATGTAGACCAGTCATGATGCAGGTCATGCTGACCGGCCACTTACGTACCGCACGTTGGCTTGACATATAATGAATGAAGTGTAAGCAACGTAGGATTCTCACTCAAGCTTGGCATTGGTTGATTTAAAGCAATCCTGATAGCATCCGATAGCTTGTCAACTAGATTGTTGATGATTGTTGTAGTAAAGGTCAAAACAACAATGCCAAGCCAAGCGTGACTTAATAATGATGGGCCATGTGGGATGCACATGTGAACAACCTGTCCAGGTTCTTCTCCTCGCCGAGGTGTGACCGTTTCGGGCGAAGATTCCAGCTTGCTGGCTGCTTGGGATGAATTACCTGAAGAAACACGGATCCAGATCCTGGAGCTGTGCTGGGAGGATTCCGCCGAAGAATAAGCGGACCTGCACCGGAGTGGTTTGAGGGTCCTCGGCAGCTGGAGGTGGAGTGGTCTAAGGGTCCCAAAACTGGTCCCAAATGACAGCTCAGTTCATTCTTGAAGGCATCGAATAGGTTGCTCATGTTTTCGCCGTGTGCTTCGATTGTTGGATACATTTTGATGATCAATTGGTTTGGTTTGGATATCCCTACCGTGTCGAAGGGACAGTGTGGCCGTGTAGCTGTGACGAGTTTTCCACTGCTTGGCATGGCAATCGCAACAATCGCGATGCCAGCCGACCGCGGTGCCAACCGCGTGCCTCTGGAAGTACCCAGGGGAAGTGTTTAAGGTGATGAACTGCGAAGTCCCGGGCCTCAAAGCACGTGCCCATGCAGAGACTGAGGTCCCTGCATTGTTTCACATCGAGACGTGTTCCCAAAAACAATGAAGAAAACTGCAATGCCCCTGGAGGAGAATTCCATTTTTGACTGAGCCAGTGCAACAACTGCTCATGGTGAGGGTCCAGTTCCCTAGTACCAGAACTTGAACGAACTCCCTCGCCACGCAAAACTAGCCGGGAGCTCGCAGTAGATGCCTAGGACCCTATGTGACCTTTGTTTTGATAGGAAATGATCATATTTTGGGTGGTTGATGGTCTAAAATAGAGGTCACTCAGGTTCTAGGACCGAATGCATGTTAGACCTAGCGCCCCTGCGCAAGACCCAGGCTGCCCGGCAGACTTCGCGCAAGACCTCAAAGACGGAAAAAAAAAACAAACATCTGGCACAGGCAGAACCTAAACATGACACGAGAACGGTTGGGACTGGCGACTCCAAAGAAAGGCCAGGGGTGGTGAAGGAAAGACGTCCAGACCTGGCACGCGTATCAGACCAGGTGTCCAGCCCCATGGAGTGTGACATGGGGTACTCATCCATGTCGACATCGTATGGTGAAGAACACGCCACGAGCGTCGTCCACGGACTAAACCAGCACGGGAGCGTCGTCCACAGGTCTTCCGACATCGCTGCCATTCAGATCACAGCACGGACCGTCCATCTCATTCGGACGTGCAACGGGCTCCGCCGTGAAAACAGGCTCCGTTGCGGCCCTCGAAGCCAAGCGGCTTCGGTTTAGATAGAGACCTCCCATCCGACTCGTGGAAGAAGGGAAATAGAGCACCAAACCCATTGGGCCAAGGGGTCTCAAGATCACCATGCCAAGATGTTCAGGAAAATTGTGTGGATGGCGTTCTTGGCAATTTTCCCGTTTCGCGGCAGACTGGCAAGCCTGCTTATATCACCAGCGTCGTTTTCGTCGCCATGACCGATGCGAGATGGGCCACATCCAGGAGCGATGCTGAAACATGCTGAAACTCGTTGATTTTACCAAGGGGCTTATATAAAGACACAGGGACAGGGTGCACGTTCGCTTCCACAGAACTAAGCTTTCCCCCTGATGATCGGGGTCAGTAGTTGTGCAAGTTCGGGAAGGCCAGGCACGGGCGGAAGCCGCGGCATTTTTGTTTGGCATGCCAGGCGGATTGAAGACGACAGTTCTGGCCTAGAAACTGACACATGCAGGTCAGTTCTGGTCAGTCTCTTCGGGTGAAATCCACCTGTTTCGAAGCGACTGATTTCAGCATCCAGCGCTTTAGCATCAAAAGTAGGCCACGATTTAACTTCCAACCAAGTCTTGTAGTACCTATTGCAAACACTTTCCTTTGCGAGTAGTTCGGCTTCTTCGTGAGGACACAGCTTAACGTTCTTCACCACTTAGGTAGAGGAGAACAGTTTCCAAGCGGCGCGTTCTGGTGCAACTTGAAGCGAAGACGACGAGTTGGTTCCCTATCAAGTTGGGTTCCAACCCGCCCACATGGGGTTCAGAACGCCGCCGCCCATGCATCCTGGCCATCCGCGGGTGCCAGGCCCAGCCTGGCAGAACCTGCGCGCAGCCACGCAGCAACTGCAGAGGCTTCCCACCAGGTCCGTTCGGTCGTGTCTTCGTTCGGGGGCGCGGCCGGAGATGGACCAGACGGACGTAAGCGCTTCTTCGATGGGTAAGCTACCGCCGGGAAAAACGTCTCACCAAAACCATGTCCATCTCCGCATGGTGAATCCAGGCGCTTCGGTCGATCGGTCCTTCGAGGCGATTGGTCGCAGCGTCGACCAGTCATTCAAGGGGTCTAAACTGAGGTAGCCCGAGTAAGGAATGTCCGAACCGAGGTGGTCCCAAAAGTAGCCTTTGGACTTCTAGGGTGTTAGAAGGAAGATTCCACAAGTAACATCTCGCTATTTCAGCTGGTCACCCTGGGCAAGTCCACTACTGGTGACTCCCACATCCCGCAAGAACCCCATAGGAGAAGGTATCTCTCCCAGACTCCCAGAACGCGAATCTCAAGATTGCGCTTTTGGACCCAAATTGTTCAACCCGCAGATTTGACCACTTGCGGAGGTTGTGGCCCCAGAGCTTGCAACTGCTCGAGGAGTTGAAGCAAAAGCAACTGAGACTTGGCTGACAGTGAAAGAGGTGATGGAAATATGGTATTCCGACGTATTCCGGGTTTTCAGATGACAGGCTAAGTATATAACGGTAAGTGACGGAAACGCGGAAAGCAGCTTTGTTGAGAGGTGCCCATTGACAATCGATTGTGATAGGCTGGCCCCTGTCAAGCAAACATGTGGAAACTCACATGCGTGGGTGTTGATGAAAACCCTGATGAGAGAGATGGAGGAAAGAATCACAGAATCACTGCAGTTACCTCGTAGTCAAGTTAGCTCAGTCAAGTTCAAAAGGAGGTAAACTCTCATACCAAGCATCCGCTCGCTTCTACTGCGCGCAATTTGGGGCCAGGCAGCCTGACTCATTTGTTTGTTCATCCTCCACTGCATCATTGGGCCGTGCGCGCGCTTGGCGCTGGGCACTGGAACTCCTGGAGCACGCGGTGAAGGGCGCGACCGACGAGCTCGGCGCGACGAATGGCGCACCGCCCGACATCGTTTGCCTCAATGCGGCTGCAGCATCTTCGGTGAACGCCAACGCGTGGCCTCAAGGCATTGAACTCTTTGAGTTGGCCAGACGCCGCTCGGACGCGCACCCAAGAAACAGTACTATACTGAGGGCTCGGGACGAAAGAAAGAGTTAGAGTGATTTATGCGTCCAGTGATAGTTTGGACAAAGACAGTTGCTTGAGTCCCGCACCCACACCCACAAAAAGTAGGGAGCTCACGCATAAGACCCCAAAGCCAAGCACAAGCCACGGGCCGTAATAAAGACCGAATGCCTGTTTCTGTTGTTTTGTTTGAAGAGTAAGTAATCACTATTTAGGCCATGTTCCGAGTACCAAACAGGGCGTGCCACCCACTTCCATGCGCCAGTGCCAGGGAGGGTGTCATCACTTGAGACTGTCCGAGTGAGACCGCGCGCGTCCCGCACCGCCAAGGCACCGCTTTGCAACCTGACTCGGAGACCGCGCGGAGCTTGATCAGTCTGAAGACTGCCTGGGCTGGGGCACTACAGGTCGTCTCGGTCACCGGTCAGTCATTGGGTTAGGAGGGCTGTGTTTACACAGAGGGCGCGGATGGAAACGAAAGAGTCCTGGCGCCTTGCTAGATGCCATTGATGTGGATTCCATTGGATTCCGATTCCTATAGATTGAGTCATTATCTTTACACTTTTACACAACTTCTGACTTTTCTATTTTCTTCGTTTTGTTCTTTGGACCTTTCCTTTTTGCAAGGCCAGACCGAGGGCTCTCTGTGTTGTTGGCTCTTGAAGGGACTGGATCTTTCCAACCAGTTCCTTCCCCTTGGAGCTCCCTGGGGTGCCGATGAGGAAGGATGCCTTTGCACTGAGGAAGGACGAAAGAGTTGCTTTCGGGGCCGGTCTCCACGTCAAAATCACCATCCCAAACCCAACCAGTAAGGCCTTTGACTGCCTGGGCTCGGGGGGTCTGCTGCCTGGGGCTCGTTTTCGAAGGCGATGTCCATCTCCGATCGCCTCCCACACCTCACTGCGGTGATCGAAAGCTTCGGCACAGCGCAGTGGCCGATTGCTCTAGTGCTCTTCAACCACGTCCAGCAGTTGCTCCCATACAAAGGACGAAACACGTATATGAGCATAGGACAGGTCTTTGCACGGAATGCTAGGCGCATGGGCTGCTGGGTCTGTTTCAGCCGGTGCTTTCATCATGACTCGGGGGTTGATACAGCAACATGCCAAAACTGTCTCAAACCCGCATTTGACCATGTTCCTCAGCGGGGGTGACCGGTTTCGGGTGAGCCATGACGAGTCGAACTCGGAGGTCGAGGTCGAAGTCGGAGGCATTTCAAGGGCTTATCAGGGCCCTAAGCAGTTACACTACATGGATTCTGTTTAAAATGGTCGGACTCCGCAACTGCACGGGATTTCGCAGTGGTGTTCACGTTCATGTCGTGATCTTGCGGGATTTCGCAGTTGATGCCACGCGAGGGGCGAGGGGCCGTGGCGGGATTTTCTCGGGATCATGACGTTACTGTAAGGGGAGTGCATCAAAGATTATGCTACATAAACGAATCCGTCAGGTTCTGAAAATGTTCTGAAACTGGAATCTTCAAACCGTGCTTCTGAAACTTGGCTCAGAGAGTGAGAAATTGCCAGGTGGAGCACAGTCGGGCGCACAGTTTCAGAGGCCCAATTTCAGAAGCCCAGTTTCAGAAGTTGCAGAATCCGACTTTCCAGTTTCACAACTTCCATTTCAGAATCATGCAGAATCCCAGTTTCAGAATCTGACGGCTTCGTTTCAGAATCCCGCTCCAACCCCCAGCGAAGGGCTTTTTTTGACGGTGGAACCCGTAAAGAGTTGGAGATGTTGGAGCTTCCTGCCGCTACGCCAGCGCAGTGCCGCGTGCCGAGGTTGATGCTCGCATCGCGGGCCTTTGTGGAAGCGATCCTGAAGACCAACTGCTGGTCCAGAAATCTACACTTGCTGAGCTTTGGCGAAGACTGAATCGAAGACGAAATTGCCATGACAAAATTCAGGTAGATGTTCAATCAAGCAACTTGCATTCAACATCTCTCAAATGTTTCACTGACCACCTGACTCATTAGACTCATCTTCACGTCATCTATTCAAATCCGGAAATCCGGTGAAGTCAAGCCGTTTCTGTGTGAAGTCAGGACCCAAGCCGTCCCAAATCAAGTGCAAGACGCAGCACTTCATCGTCATGTCCTACTTTCGTGCTTACGGAGTGGCAAGCTGAAGGTAGCACTGAGGCCGAACGGACTGGATGGAAGACTGGGAGGATGGACCTAAGGGCTGAAAAGGATGGACAGTCATGTAGACTGCTGATGAATAACTCCTTCCAGTTGAACAAGTGTTTCCAATCCGAATTGGGGTGGGCTTTATGAATTGAGACGTTTACACTTCTCATCCATTTCAATATGAGTGTTGATTTCTTGCTGCTTCGTTTTGACCGGCAAGAATCAAATTGATTCATGAATCCTGCAAGCTATAGGTGTAGGAATCAGCCAAAAAATCACTGCGCTGGCTGCATTCATTTGCAGGGCTCGTTCCTCCTTTCAGCCATTAACCAGGCCCCCCTAACGGCCCAGGCTGTTCTTGGGCACCTGGTGCATTTGGGATTTGGGTCTGTCCTATTATGTACCTGCAACAGTCAGTAAACTATGTTTGAACAAGGTTTGCAGCCTAACCATCATCATCCACTGAGGCCCTGGTAATAGGATAGGCCCAGGGGAGCATCCCAACAAGTCCGATTTTGAGATGAGTCAGCTGAAAAATTGGATTCTTGATATATTTGCTGTATAAAACTCCCAGGATCAATCTGTTTCAGTGCCACTTGTGCCGGCTCGTTGGGCAGGCTTTTGGAACGCTGTGATTCCCGGGGTCTCCAGCCGACCGTCGCCATGCGTGGTGCCTTTGTGGCAGCATGTGAGAACACTGGCCGGTGGAGAGCAGCTCGGCGCCGAGACGGTGACGAAGTGATTCGCGTTGATTCGCAGCCCTTACTGAGCTTGGCACACCTGTTGGTTGTCACGATCTCGAAAGGACGCCGACCATGAGTTCAGAACGTGATGAGCGATACACTCTGGAAGACGATCACATGGACCCAGAAAACCACTGCGTTCGTAGAGGACAATCATCTTCCAGGGGGCCATTGTCAGGGTCTATATTAGTTTTCGGGAGTGTGTCCAATGATTTGTTGGTGGAAAGGTCATGCATGTGAGAAACCATGCCGGATCTCCGAGGAGGCCTTGGCAGCCGTGCGGATGGGTCTTCCTGACCGGGCCATGTGCAACTCACTGCTGTGCATGTGCCGAAGGCGCAGCTTCTGAACGCCTTCTGAGATCGCGTGTGGTGTTCACCCGTGCCGGAGCCTTGTGAAACCAACCTGAACAAACCTTCCGACCGAGAAACGACGGAGCCCCTGTGACCCGGGGGACAAGACGTCCTCGGACGAACGATGAGGTGAGTCAGCGGGCAAGTTGAACTCGGAGTCACGTCGAACAATGAGGTGAGTCAGGCGTCGTCCCGGTGAATCCGGTAGAAGTGGACGAGATGAACGACACATGCTGTGAACGAAATTGCCTCACCAAACCAACCCCACCAACCGCATCAAACCGCGCGATCCAAAAGCACCAGACTGCCCTCTAAAGAGGGCAGACTGCCCATGTAAAGGCCGTGCAGGAAATGCAGGAGAAGCAAGAAGACGACTGCAATCAAATTACATCAAAGATCTTACCCTGACGACATCCCATCTCTCGCTGCAAGCCACCGTGAATCATCATGACGCCATCCCCAAACTTCGAAACCAACAGCAAACTCAGCGAACCCGCCCTTGATCCTGCGTCCCAAAAGCCACCCTAGCTATCCTTTTCTCTTCTTCTCCCACCCCCACCCAGATCGGCTCCCGACGTCCGGCGCGCGGACGTCCGGGCTCAGGCGGAGCGCTTGGGAGCGGAGCTTACGTCTTCTTTCTGGCGCCTCTTTGAGTCTATCGTTGAGCCTCTTGGGCCGCGCCAAGCGGTGCGGATGGGCCCTGGGCCTCGCGTTGTTCGGACAGCGTGCGGCGAGGGCGGACCGGGCAGACGGTGCAGCATGGGATGCGGCCATCGATAGTGCGGGCGCCGACGGCACTGGCTGGAAAGTGGCTTTGGAATTGTTGAGGCGAGAAAGTAGGCAAGCATGTAGCTTCCAGTAGTGAACTCATTCACGAGAGGTTCCTTTGGCAAGGCAGTGAAAGATGCCGAACTGTGTTTTTTGCAACTCAGGAGGTCTTGAAAGATGGACATGAGTGGAAATGAGACCTCTGGGCTGTTTCGCATGCTTGAGCTTTGCCATAGTCAGTTCTTGTGACCTCATGGGTCCATGCGTCGGCTTGAAGACCCCTTGGCCCCAGGACGAAGCCCACGATCTCCCTCCACGGCTACGGTGCGGCCATGGCTGCGCTGGGACTGCACGGCTCGCGGCACTGGAGACGTTGCACGGACCTGCTGGGGGAAGTCCCATCGACCGGTCTGCGCCCCTTCGAGCCGAACCGAACCGAACCGCGCCGGTTTCGCGGAACCGTAAGGGCCGGGCGGTGCGGGGTTTGGGGTGTTACCCGGTGTTCGTTTGGAAAGCAGGATCCCCTCTTCAAGTCAAGTGTTATGGTGCGGACGATCTCAGGTGAGCTAACACTGCTTGAAGAGGATAATATACTGCTATTTGTGACTGCAAGTGTATAATGGACCCAAGTGACGATCTCCACATCATATTAACGCACGTATACGCACGTCACATTGGGTTTTCGCTCGTTCACTGTGGTTCGGGGACTCACTCAGCCATGTTCAGCCCCTATGGACGGGAAGGAAAGTGCCTTCTAAGCCTTCTGGCGGTTCGAGCATGGTTCGAGCATACCCGGAGAACCATCCATGAAGCAATGTGTGAACCATCGGGTCTGATCGTAGCTTTGTGACCTCTGGAGTTTCTCAGAAGATCTGATCTCAACTCTCGTATCGCACGCGTATCAATCGCGCGCACTGACGCACGCCACTCCTCGAGGCTTAAACGCCATCACCCTGAGCACAGTCCTGGCATCTGTCCAAGAGTTCCGACACTGGGAGTGGGCCAGCGAGATGATGTCAGCGATGAGACTCCAGTGGCTGGAGGTGAACAGCTGCTCAGCCAAGAAAGAAGACGAGTGCTGGTGGCTGGTGGCCTGGGACTCCTCGAGTTGCGCGCGCCAGACCTGTTGGTTCCATTCGTGGTCTGTTCCATTCGGAAGCCGAGGTAACTTGAGGTTCCACATGGTTCCACATCACCGCAAAGGCACCGAGGCAGTCCGGCGGTAACGACATTCCGTCCGTAGACCTCGGTACGCCCCAGCGAGCCGGATGGTGTTGTTCTTGCTTTAATTGCACAGTCGATAACATATGATTAGAGCAATATGGACCGACCTCTGCCACATGCCCCGCAGGTTTGGCAGGCAAGGCTCCAGATGCATGATTTGATGAAGAAGCATGCTTGGGGCACGTGCAACACTGTCTTGTTGTTTAATGATCATAATCATCATATTGATCCATATTGTTGGTCCATATCACGCGGGTTGTTCGGCACCAGATGCCTTAGCAGTGATTTTTCAGGTGTGTCAGGGACATGATCTCCAGAAATTCAATAGATGAAGACTAGAACTTGGGAATGTTGCAGTAAGAAGTTACGCACCACTTTGAGCCGTGCCTCATTGTTTCATTTCATTCACTCAAGTCAACTCCCCCAAAACAACAGGCGTTCTCCACAATGCTCTTAGCTCTTTCTAAAGAAACGTTAACAAGAAAGACACGTTGAGTGTCGCGTTTGAAATCACTTGATTGGTTTGCTGCAAGAAGTCCAGTAGCGCCTTTCTTGAATCAGAGGGAGCTTTCCTCAGCTTGTCAACGTTAAAAGGAATGTTCCGGACACCACGAGCCAGCCCAAGCGAATCAAGGCATGGCAATCCAACCTGACTAGCCAACTCCAACGGATTGAAGCACCACTTCCTCATGTGGACCCAGTTCTTTACTGCAGCTGCTGAAATATTATTTGTTTCGCTCATTGCTTTACTCAGGCTATTGCTTCAATGCTTTGGTGGCCTGTTCAGAGAAGGCGAAGGCTTGGCGCTTTGCCTTGCAGACCATGAGGCGGGGGCGCCATGCCACGACTTGCCGCATGCACACCATCCACCAACCAGGATCTTCACCGATTCCCATCCGAACATGCACGCTTCATCGACCCTCCCACGGTCCCGCAGTCCCACGCCGTGGTCACCACGTGGTCGATGCGGTCCGTGGGGTCCGTGCCGGGCCGTGTGGTGCGCGTCCGTGCTGAGGTGCATGGAGTCCTGGGCGGTGCCCGCGGACCGCTATTCGGCCGCCTCCTCCATCTCCTCCTGCGAAAAAGCTCAGCAGTGGCTATGGGCCATTTGGCTCTTCCACACGGCGCCGGCATCAGAATCTTGGCCCGAAATGGAATTGGACTCAGCATCTTCGTTTGGGCATGCCCTTCAGAAACCACTAGTGGCCCCCCACTTGGGCATTTTTTAGCACTTCTTGGGGCGGGGGGGGTGGCCCAAAAAAGGGAAAGAGGCCCCCCTAGAATCACACACCTTCGTCTTCTTCCCCCAAACGCTTGCTGAACATCTCGCGCACCGACCGCACCCCTCCGGCAGGCCGAGGAGGTCGAGGCCGAGACGTTGACCTCAGCGATCCAGCACACGGCCGTGCTGAGCGGCGTCCGCGGGGCTCCGTGGCGTTGGGCCCTCGACTTCTTGGAGAAAGACGTTCCGCCCGAGCTGAGCGAGGCCGATCTATAATGCTTCGCCAAAAAAGGGATGGGAGATGATGGGAGGTAAAACAGTTGTTGGGGTGTGGACGGGCGTTTTTTTAAAGGGCCCCATACTCTTTGCTTTCTTGTGTTGGTTGGTTTGGATTAGCTTCGTTCGTTTAGGTGTGGTGCATGTTATGCACGTTGCCCCAAGCTGGGAAGCTGACCATTTGATTGTCGGGGAAGTTGTAGAGTAGAGCCACATAGAGCCACTCAATGAAGACATCATGGCCCCCCCGCTATATCCAAAAAAAGCCGAAGGGTGCGTATCAAGAAGGCAAAGGTCTAAGGCTTAGAGGCAGATGGCTGGCTACATGGTCGCGAACGCCGGCCCAAACGCATCCGTGCAGTGTATCGGAGGCCTTGACAAGGCCTGCGTTGCCTCAGGTGTTGACCATTGACGCCACGCTCCATTTGCTCACCTCCACCACCCACAGCTCTCATTCCTTCCGGAAGGCCCGACGATTTTTGCAGGAGCTCCATTGGCCAGGCCTGCGACGAGGCAGAAGACATGTAATTTGGGCCCTGGACAAAGCACGTGCTCGCAGGTATTTGCAATCAGCTGTCCAAGAACGAACTTCAAGAATACACAGCCTTAAAGAATTGTCATAGTTAATCAAGATGCATGCGCGAACGGATTTCATGACACCCGCGCAAAAGAACAAAAGCAAGTAAGATGCAAGAACGACCTTCGTGTGTACCGCAGCTAAACGGTGCTTCTTCTTTTTTTGAAATCTTCTAGTCCAACAAGAAAGTTGCCAATTTGATTGGCACAACCACTGTGTGTCTTTTTGCTTTGTCTGCAGATCTTGGGCCTCGACTTGCTTTGTTTGCGACCGGCACGTGGCACGCGGAACCGCGCGTGGGCCGGTGTTTGAGGCGCCGCCGTGCAGCGCCTGCCGGCGCGTGTGGAGCTTCGAGAAGCCTTGATGGCGGCTGAACTGCTGGAGGAGTGTGATGCGCTGACTGCGGAAGATGCGAGGCCGAGAGAACTGAATATGTGTTGTCCTGGGCCGGATGAGGTCCAGAAGCAGGAAAGGGTTGAAGAATGGGTGTGCGTCAGAATGGGGAGACCTCCCAGTTCACGAAAGGTAGCCCTTTAGGGGATACCTTGAGTTTGTCTTGCGAAGCAAGTGTTGGGACGTCCGGGTCTAATATATAATTGATCACTCAATTCAACCCCCCCCCCCCCCCCTCGAATTGATTTCTCAATACAGACCCCCCCGCCGCCCCCTTGGAATTGATTTTTCAATGCAGACCCCCCCCCTCCCCCCCCCTCTAAATTCAATTCTCTCCTGGAGAACGTCTTCGTGAGCCTCTCATGATTTCAGGATAGTTGAAACCCTCATTGAACATTTAGAAAGAGTGCATATGAAATTCTAATCACGAAAGGTGTTCCCCGAGGGGATACATACCTAGAGTTTGTTTTGTGAAGCACGTCAATTCTCTCCTGGGGAGCGTTTTCGTGAGCCTCTTATGGTTTCAGGATAGTTCAAATCCTATGATGCTCCGATTCAATGCTCACCGATGATCTGATCCATGGGGCAAGTTTGTTTTCCTAAGAATCTTTTTGAACATTTCCAGAGCATATGTTTGAACAATTAGAGTGCATATGAACATATATTTACGATTTACGAAAGGTCGCCTCCGAGGGGATAAATCACCATGTCGAACATTGCATTTTTGTTCCTGCCTCTCGCGTTCTCTTCTCTTCCCGCTGTCCTACCTTTCGTGTCTCCCTCCTCTCAAGTTGACTACTGAGACTACTGTTTGGAAGAGGGAAGATAGACCACAACTCATGGGTGGGGAGTCGCCCCATTAAAATATATTGGTTGAACTGGTTTTGCTCCTTTGTGAGGTCTTTCTCACGATTCTACGGGCGCTTCAACCTGGCTCGCCTGGATGAACAGTGCCCTGCAGCACTCCCAAGCTGGCACTTGAAGTCGTCTTTGCAGCTTTTTGGCAGAAAACAAGGGACAAAGGATCGCTTCGATTCTACACTTCCTCACCAACTAACCAGTCTCACTAGTGTTAACCAGTCACTTCCTCACCCAAAAATCCCCGGTTAACACTCCCCAACTTCAAAAAAGTCACCTGGACCTCCTGCGGCCCGAAGTTCGTGGTCGTGGGGTTCGCAATGAAGCAGGAGCGCCCCAGGGCGACCCCACCAACAGTCCCATGCTCAAGAGGTTGGAGTAGGGTCCACAGGACATCCGTCGCCCTTGAAATCCGAGTCGAAGATAATGTCCAATCATTCATGTTCAATCACTGGGTTTGATCAAGCAAAAATCCACGGGAATATGTGTTGTTCACTCCCGAAACCTTGGGTGTCCTGCAGATGTTCACTTAAACAAAGATGAGATTCAATCGTTAAAAGAGACAAACTCAAGGGCTTCGCTTCAAATTTCGTCAGTTACCTTTCAGCCCACTTCCCGCGGCTGAACACATGTCTCAGGTCAAGGCTTCTGTTCTCAGAAGGCGTCCTTGATCTGCGAGTTTCAAGCGCGGACGGTGCAAGAGAGCCAATTTGGAAGCCCATGGGTTGCTCAGACACGCGCAGCCTGAGTTGGCGATCACCAGGCCGGGCGGGACACACACAAATCCCAGTGGTGAACGGATTCGTAAGAAGAGATTATTATTGTATATTCTTTCTTTTAATGTGTATATAAGACAATTAAATTCATCATTATATATATATATATATTTTATATAGGTCAAAGACCTCATTCTACTAGTCTACTGGAGTGGGCCATGCAAGAAGCACTACTCAACAAGGTCAAGGGCCAAGTGTCGGTCTTTGGACCTTGCCCGAATTCACACAAAACGCTCGGTTTGCGGTCGGTCGGCACCCTGCCAGGTCAAGTCACTGCACAACTCGTGGCCTGTTGGACTTCCGTGTTTATCCCGACGACTGGTCACTGGAGGAAGGTGATGGGCCACTGCGAGGACGGAGAAGATGAGAGGCGAGGAAGGTGCTGGCAACATTCACCGGTCTGTTTCCAAAGTCTAGCCTATAGGACCACTTGCCAGCACTGAAGAAGATGAGGCCAATCAGTCACAATTGAAAGTCATGATTAATCTTTCATCTTGGACATCCCGCAAATCCTCCAGGTTGGCTGCTGTTTCAGGAGAAGGCCGACGAGGCCCACATGCAGAGCGGCAAGCTTTGATCCGCATCCTGCAAGAGCTGGGCGGTGACAATCTCAAGAAGCGGAAGCGTGGCTGAGATTGTGAAGCAACGTCATGCCGAGTTATACTCAAGAAGAACCAGAAGGCAAAACAACCAAAAGTCACTGACAGTACCAAAGGTGACCATCCGGCGCTGATTTTGGCCGAAAGGATGTTGACGTGATGTTGGATGACATCCTGTGGTGATGTGGAGCTCTGGCAATTCAGATCATCTATGTGCTGAAAAAGGAAAGCTTGCGGTCATTGCACTCCAGCTCTTCAAATGAACACCGTTAACGTCTTCCAATCGACGCCACATGCACAGTGCGTGCATGCGCACGGGCATCTTCACACACCGGATGCCACGCAGAAGGTTCCGGCATGTCGTGTTGGCCATGCAGTTCACCCGTTTTTACCATGTGGAACTTCATGGGCGCTCGGTTCTTGCGAGGCCAAAAGGCTCCTGACTGACTTGGCGAGCGGACGTTTCCAAAAAGACAGGGTTCGCATCATGTCGCACTGAAGTCATCATGGCATGGCCCCCGATTTTGACTCGGATGACCATAAAGCAATATAATATACATCTTGTGAAATTATATACCAAGGCAGGTGGAGTGATGGGGGCACACCACATTGGCCGATGATTTTCACGGATGCGTCCAGCATCCCAAGCGATCCGAGGACAGTGCACCATGTGGCACCTGTTGCACTCGGAGGCATAGCGTGAATGATATGTTCAATTTGCGGGTGAAGTGGGGTTGCCCTTGCCCCGGTGATGGGGCAATGAGATGAACAAGGGTGACGAATGGTTGAGTGATGACAGGGCAAGGGGTCATGGTCACGTGATGATGCTTGATGTGGTGCTTCTGTGCATACGGATTTTGCAAGCAGGCTTGCGATTTGGTGAAGAATATATTTATTGTTTTTCCCTGTATCATGGTGATTGGGCGGGAAACCTCCTGGTCCTTTGACGAAAGGTTGTTGTTCTCCAAAGGTCTTTATTTTTTTTTGCTCAAGAACGCCGCAACAGACTCCCACTCCGAACCTTGGGGTTTGTTTGCTCATCGGAAGGCATTCGGATCCTTGCTTTGCTCCGCTACCATAAGATTTTTTTGCGGTGCAAACCACCTCATGACTATGCCATAATACGGTTTCATTTTTTAGATAATACATGTTGTTGTTTTTTCGAAAAACAATTTCCTAGGATATATATTTATGGATTTTAAAATTGTGTCGAGCTTTGGGCAGGTTTGGGTGCACAGTATTCATTACAAGTGTTGCACTGTCCATTTTGGCTCAAGCCAAAAGTGGGACAGTGGAGTTTCTGTCCCACCCAGCCCACCCCTATGGCCGGGTCCACGTTGGTTCCCTGTTGTCAGGTCTGGCATTCATTCCAGGGTGGATCCCTGGTTGGGCAGATACATCGCTATGGATACGTCTTGGTGGACGAGTTTCCATAGATGGGTGTCTAACCTTCATCCACGAATGGATGTATCGCTATGAGCACTGCTCACACCTTGTGAGTTTCCAACTCAACAACGTCATGGTGACCTACATGTGATCTCTACCGCAGAGAGTGCCTATGGAAAAGGGAAGGGTGCACAGAGTGCAATCTGGGAAGCATTCTAATCTAATAAATATGGTAATTAAAAAAATAAATATAGAAATAATACTAAACATAAACCTTGAAATAACTCATTTTATATATAAAATTAAATTAATATATAAAACATAAACTTTGAAATAATTCATTTTATATATAAAATTAAATTAATATATATATGTATATAATATAAAGATTTAACTTTGGATTTTTAAAATAAAATTGTTTGAGTGAATGTTCTAAATATATATAATTTTAATGTATTATTATTTATTTTTTATATATGGGATTATTTTAATATTGGATTATATATTTAAAACTATATATAATTTAGGTTTCGAGGTAAAAATATATATGATTTAGATTTCGAGGTATAGGATATGTATTAAAAATTGGATATATAATATTAAAAAAATGCTTGTTATGTTTATTGATCATATTATTTTTCTTAATATTGTTTGTTTTTATTAATCTTGATATAATAAGAATTGTTAATGAAAAATGTATGAATTGTTATTTTGATAAAGATTTATTGCAATTCATTAAATATATGTATAATTGGGATTCGAATTTTGATATTATGGAGATAAAGAATTGAAGATTGATATTAACATTTTTAATCTAATTATATTGTATTAAAGGAGATGTTATATTGTATTAAAGGAGATATTAAAAAAATAAGGATTAAATTTATATATCTATGTTTTTAATTTGGAATTATAATTACTTAATTTATTTATTGATTTTTTGATTTTGGATTATAATAATAAAATTTTCTATTGATTATTTATCGTTTTTTACTAAAAATTTTCTTGAATATAGGTTTTTTCGATTTCTTTGAATTTATTTTCGGAATTTTCTTTTTATTAAGGTTATACTAGGTAATAATAAATCGTTATTTTCGAAGATTTTTTTTGGCCGATAAAATGGATTTATTGTTATAATTATTAATTCATTTTATTTTATCTTACATATATTCGGGTCTCGGTAATAAATTATATTGCATTTTTTTGCACGAATTAATTGGATTATTTTTTGTTGAATGATAAAAATTATCCGGATTTTTTTTTTTTTTTTAAATGACGATAAGGAAAGAAATATAGATGAAGAAGGAGAACTAATAATTGGTATTTATTTTTGATTAATTATTGTGATAATTGGTTAGAAATTTTTGTTCTATCGTAGTTGTTATATGCGATTTTTCTATTTATATTCTAAATATTTTGTTAAATTCTTTAATATCATACATGATATTTTTATTAGTGTTTGTTGCATTAAAGTATGGTGTTTCTTTATCATCTTGGTTTTTAACGTCTTTTAATTCTTTAATTATAATATGAATAAATCGGTGAATCTTCCATCGGTATTGATCGATATGGGCGGCATGACGGTGATTTTATAAATAGAATGAAGATTTAATTGAATTTAATATTATTTTATTTCAATATACCTCTATATCATTATTTATTATTTTCTTATTAATGCGGCACGCTTCAATATGAACCAATCACTGACCTCCGAAAGGAGGTCAATCTTGAACTTCAGCAGCTCACGAAATGCCTGATTGAAAGGTGCAAAATCCGTATCACCTTGAAGAAATATCTTTGAAAAACTTCAGGCATCTCGACTTTGTTATCGTATTGCCATTGAGCATCCAATCGTTGCAATAGCTACGATAATCTATCCTCCTTTTCCAGGTCAAAGATTTCCAGATTTTCATATTATCGTCATGATATATCCTCCAAATTAAACAAAATATTTAATGCAATCTTTTTCTTTCGACCCTGTAGCTTCTGGCGATAGGCATATAATTGAATATATTTCCGCCATTCCTTCTGGCCAATTGTGGGGTTGTTAAATGTGGGGATATAGAATTTATCATTACGGAATCCGGTTGATTCTAATTCGAAACGTTAGGCATGGCTATCGCGGGCGCCCGGAGCTGTATTTTGACGGCTCCGCTACCAATGGTAAAGACAAAATGAAAATACCTAAGCCGAAACCCTGTGCGCTCGAAGTCACGGGGCAAACATGAAGAGGGAAGAATGGGAAATGCGAAAATTTATTTTGATGTGACCTTATGTGATATTTAAAATAATGCATCGTAATTACGTCGTAATTTCCCGTATTTTTAATATAATTTTTTAGATTAATTTTGTTGTATAGATTTTAATAAAGAATTTAATGAGGAAAATATAAAGTGAAAAAGAATATAAAGGAAATACGATTGCTCTAATGAAGTGAAATTTCATCACCCTTCCCTCAAATCCGATTCTATTATTATCTTAGAAAATTCGTCCTAAAATAGATTTTATAAAATATAAATCAATTCATTTTATAATACAAATTTTAAAAATACGATTATAGAAAAATATCCTTACCATATATTCCTTAATTTCTTATTAAACATTTCTATTTAGATACGAATATATTAATTATCATTTTAAACCATTCGAAAGATAAATGAAAATAAAAAAAAAACAAACCTATATTACATTATAGAATAAATATATTCTAGAAAAATTATTCATAATAGAAACACAATTTCCTTATGTATAATACAATATTTGTAAATATATTGAATATTCAATATATTATATTTCGAAACAAATTATACATATAATCATAATGGGGAAATACGAAAGATAGAGACGGATCGGGTAGCTATCGGGACCTTTTCTGCTGAGAGATTGATTCCGGTATTTAAGGAATATTTCCCTTGCTCAATAATAGATACATACAACCAATCAAGCCTAAGTGTACAAAAAGACTCAAGAAAAACACTCTTGCAATCAAATTGCGCCACCCGGTTCTATAGAAAGATTATATTACGTCGACATTCTTTTATATAAAATAATTAAAACATATAAATCAATATGCGCGTAAAAATCGCAATACGAAAATATTCGCATATTAATCAATTGGGAATTATCCAACAAAATTCTTCTTTTTGGGCTTGTATCGTTGGCCTTTCGCGTTTGCAGAAAAATCATAGGTTTTCCTTTCGTATATTGTGATAAATTTCATTGAATTCACAGTGTTTAGAATATCTAAATACCTATTAGTGCGCTAAGAAGTAGGCCAACTACCCTCTGTTAATTCATATTTAAAATAAATATTTCAAGTTTTATTTCAAGGCCATAGATAAGCAAATGAGCTTCCAAGCTATGTGCCCTTTCGCGGACCCACCGCCGCCGGCCTTTCGCAAAAATCGGATTTCTATTCGGGAAAAAAGATGTGTCATGCATTATGCACATTATATGTATATTTAGATTAACCCATATCTTTCGTTATCCTATCGCGAACTGCAATTTTCCTTTCGCGACATATGTATTTTAACATTTGATCGAAATTACTTCATTAGCAATAATAAACGACCCTCAAATATATTCTATCAAAATTATAAATTTATATATATTACGTCGAAGCCGCCACTACTATCAACCATAAATATCAAATAATAATATTCTACGATACGATAAAATATCGCGAAGAAATATAATATAATTAAATCGATTAATATTCCATAAAATAAAAAATATTTTTCTCACAAAATAATATCGAACATCATTAATATCGAATAATACATTTATAAATGCAATATATATTATATCAAATTACCGGACATATATACAAAATTACATTACGCAATTTAATTAGAAACAATTCGTATTATATTATACAAATTCATAACCGACATTAATTTACTATAATTACAAAATACATAATTTCATCTTATAATATATTTAAAATATTAATATTAATAACATTAATTAAAAAAACACAATTTATAGAAATAACTAATTTATCAATAAATTATTTTATAAAAAAAATAGAAAAAATATAAATATTAAAAATTAATCTTTCAATGTTTAATCCCGACCAAATATTCAAATCAATTCCTTTCTTTCATAAAATAAATTCAAAATAATCCTTATCAAACTACCTTTCGTAATGTTTTTCTCCCCATTAAAGATCTTTTTATAAATCCATAAATATATATATTATCACCATTCAATTTTTCTATATAAGGATATAATTGATCATTGAATGAGGATATAATTGATCATTGAATCGTCAATTCAATCAATTATCGGTCGGGTGCCCAATATGCGATCTGCAAGAATCTTCTTTATTTCCACATGAAGAAATATGATTAATAAATTATCATTGGAGCAAATAACTTCAAATGAAGCCTAACAATCCTAACATTGCGTCGGCCTATGTCGGCCTCAACGAGCAGCAGTCTAGTGGCTGTCGCAGCGCAGTCCAACCCTAAAACATAAGGTTTGTGAAAAACATGGAGAGAATGAGATGAAACGGCCTTCAAATTGAAATCATCGAGCTGAAGTTTCAGTTGATTCAACACTCTAATTTCTAATCATAATTGAAAAGCACACTTTGTTGAAGTCGCCTGATTTTAGTTTGGATTTCTGGCGCTCTTTGCTGGGAAGTTTAGTAGCAAAACTTTTGTTAGACTGTCCAACTGAAATGTACCTATTCAATGACTTTATCGGCTGAAAATCCGTGTGCCAACAACAAACCAAACCAATGAATTTCCGAACTGCTCAAATGACAATAACCAAAGAATGATGTGGTTTCCTATATTTTCTCATGGTGAATCAAAGCACATTTTTCCAAACAGCATCATAAATCATATACCTCTCCATCATGGACGCAAAACTGATGTACCATCAGCGGGTCTTCCACCGAGTACCGGCGTCAAGGTCGCCCGAGCCGCGAAGAGTTCATGGGGGTGGGTCAGTACTGGAGCAGTACTTAGGCCATGCAATTTCTTTGTTCCCTCGTCTTCATGTTTTTCCATTTCCGGGCAGTTAAGCGTGCGCTTGTGCCGGTCATGCGTCTTCATGTCCTGAAAAAAACGTGGTGATCTTGGTTGCTTCTATTGACAATGATACAATATGATGTGCAGTAGAATGCGAATTCATATCTTTTGATGTCTTTGATGTATTTTGCCTTATGCACCAGATGGAAATAGCAATTTTGTTCCTGCACCGCGTTCTCCACAAGCGTGGCTGGAAGTGTGGCTGGGGGCGCTGGGGCCTTTTATAGCTGGCAGAACATCCCAGGTGAGGAATTGTTCCAAACCAAGGAACATCAGGTTCCTTGGTTCCTTGGTTTGGCAGAACATCCCAGGTTCCTTGGTTACATCCCAGGTGACTTCGAGTGCCAAACCAAGGAGTCTCACCCACTCGGAGTCTTACCCATCACATGGAGTCACTGGAAGCGGCCCCTTTCTCACGACCGCTCAACCCTTTACAAACAGCTGGTGAACGCCACGACTCACATGGGATGGGAATGTGAGTGGGAGGGTAGTCATGACTCGTCCAGGACATTGAAAAGAGTGGCGAGGTCGTGCTCATCTGCGCCTTCTGGAAGCTTCACACGATCTCCGAAATTCGTCTCGACAAAGTGTCTCAGGCGCGACCTGGGGTGCAGCGATCGCGACGTGTTGAATGCTGGAGCCAATGGGGGGGAATGCCACCATCCAAATACCGAAAAATAATGACCTGATCACCATGCACCACAAACAAATACATGAATGATAGGATAGAATCACGTGCCCTTTGATAGAATCACTCGAAATCTGATGAAACATGCTATATGAATGGTAATTGTGGATTGTGGATGAACCAATTTTGCCCTCTTCAGGCTCCACGAATCGTGTTCGGAGTTGGTCCTCTTGGACTCCAAGTGACGGACACCAGCTCGTGAACACCAAAGCTGGAGGTCTCTTCCCGACTCCCCAACGAACACCCGGAGCCATTTCCCAGACACTCCATGGGACTGTCATATATGCCGCCCCATTGACCCCTCTGGCACCACCCCTGGCCTGATCGGCAGTCCTATGGCAGTCCCATGGAGTGCATGGGTTTGGTTGGCGCCGACCGGTGGCCAAGCTGCCCGGAGATTTGATCCCCACAATTCTCATCCACGTACCTCGGTAGTTCGCGCCGGACGGCCGTTCGGGCTCGGAACGGCACATGCCAAGGATCAAACACAGAGTGGGGGCTCTGGGAATCTTAGATTTGCTAGAACCGAACCTGGAAAGAAGTAACGTGTCATTATATTCCGCAGAAGGGGGTAAACAGGAGAAAACGCTCACCTCAAGCAAAACCAGGGGATGGGGTTCAACGTCGTAAACCCCAACGACCTCTGTAGGTCATGCCGCCATGCCCGGTTGCGAGTCTGGGACGGAGGTGTCAGCCCACCCCCACGGCGCGCCAAGTGCTTGGTCTCTTTGAAGGTGAAAGTTGTGTTGTTTCGACCAGAATGCAGGGAGAGCCTCCAAGGTCGACCGATGTGGAACAATCCCTGGTGCCCTCTCTGATTCCTCCACTTCTTTCGGCTCGCCGATCAAATCCAGGAGGCCTTCGAGGTGCGTAGGCCTTCGAGGCAAGGCCTGCCCGGAGCTTCTCAATGCTCTGCTTGAGGTCGTGGATGTCCTCAAGCCCGAAGAAACGAGCCAAGCACCGCATTTGCATGGATATTTACATACAGTAGTAGCTCCTTGCTAGTAGTAGCCATGGCCTCCAACCTACTAGCGATGGCCTGAAGCCTTGTTCTTGCCCCAGCTCAATTGTGGCTCCAAGAAAAATATGGTCCGCCGTGGTGAATTTAGTTTGGATACATATCAAACCCTGCAGTGGATCGAGCAAGTCTTGTGGAACTCCAAACCTGGAGTGTTTGGGGGACACAAGTCACGTTTCATGAAGCAATTGGAAGCAAACCCTAAAGATGAGTTCTATTCAACCGGGAATTTTCTACTTTCTAAGCCCACATGATCTTCATCCCTTCCTCTAGGTTGGAGGCCATCGCTCTTAGTTTTGATTAAAACACGCCCACAAGCCCGTCCATCTCTTTTCCTTCAGTTTTGAGTCTGCGCCATGAAAAAAGGAGGCTCCGCAGCGGGTGAGGAGAAGCGGGAACCCCGGCTATTGAAGCGAATAGAACGGAACGCCCCTTGGATTGCCTCATAGGGCCTTTCCAATCACCTGCTTCAAAAAAAGAACCAAAACGAGGTGCACAGAGTCCAGGACATGAGATCATGATGGCCCGCTTGGCTTCATGTTTTCGCTTTGGGGAGGCCACCATTGGCCAGTCCTCAGTCCTCGAACCATTGGCCCAATGGCTCCCATTTACCACCGACTCACCTGGCTATAGTCTGGAATCGATCCAACGGATCGATCAGCAGCCAAGGAACATTGAAGCCCTCACCTCGGTGTAGGATGGATTCTGCGCATCTTTCTGGCCAAAAAACGACACGGGCGACAGCAAGACGAGTTCCAACTGTGCCCCCGCGCCGGTGGTGGGGGTCAAATACTTCCAGCCGCCTGTGGCAGTCTAAGAGACTGACTCGGAGAACCCTGGAAAGTAAAGGTTCAGCAAAGTCTCCACCTATAAAGGATTTTTTTCTTGTAAAGCCACTTCCCCAAGAAGGCTATCCAATGCTCTAATATGTTCTCCACTTTTCCTGGGTAGGACACTGACAACTGGAAGTCATCTGGGTTCAATCTGCAAGTTGTGTCGGCTGCAGTCAAGCACGACTGTATATGAATAATTGCAACGCACTGCCCCGCAGGTCCACAGGGGCCTATGATGTTCTTGTTCATGAGCACAGGCCTCAAAAGGAACAGTCGGAATGGTCCTACTGAACCCTCTTATAGAATCAGACTCCGACGAAAACGTCACATGGAAATGGAACACCACCTCTACACAAAGGATTAAAAAGAGCAACGCAAGCCTCTTCAACTCTCTCTCTCTCTCTCTGAATCTGAAGAAGCTGCCCAGAAAAATATCCAAGCCTCCTCAAGCTACCTTCAACCAAGCACCTTTTCATCCACTCTTCCTCCACCCTGCCAGGCGTCTTCAACCACCTTCTGACCACCCTCGTAGACTTAGCAAATAGCTGGATTCCCGCTCGACCCGGTTGAGAACCGAGGGGCACGTCCAAGGCCAACGCCTGTGTGATGACACGGGGTGAGGCGTCATGCACTTGCGGCAAGAAGAGGAAGTGGCTCTGCCGCCTGAGGAGTGCATGGTGGGGTGAGGGACTGGAGTGCTCGGCCGGAAGAAACTTGGCGTGAAGATCAGTTTGAGGTCGTATATCGATGACCTATCACTTAAATTATCCCGGCAAGAGACCCCAAACAGTGTGTGTCGGGCAACCAACCGGTGCGATCTCAACCATATATCTCATATATCTCATCAGTTTGTATCAGTTTATACAGAAAAAAGACATGAACAACCAACAAATTGGAAGACTTGCATACTGAGGTGCGATTTTTGTGGCAAAACTGATGCGATATATGGTGAAATGCCAACCTTTTGGTTACTCAGGTGCCAATCTTCGACTCCTTGCGGACACATCATGTATTCCTCCGTCGCGTTCTGGTCCACTTTGGCCGGTCGTTCCTAAACTTACAAGGGTTGCAACAGTTATAAAGACATCCAATCATCGGTTATTTGTACAATGTGTTCTTTCTTTTAACGCATTCCGCCAAGCGTCGTGTATTTGAAGAACTCATCCTGGGATAGAAATGTCGTCTGCGTGATCAATCCTCAGCCAACACAGGCCAACGGCCGACACCGAACTTGGCAGACTGCTGCGAATCATGGTGAAGGCATCTTGTCCTTCTTTTTCCTTCCCAAACAATCCATGGGACTGGACTATTTACAATTTACCTACCTTGGGATGTTTTGGGTCTTTAGAGGTCAATAGGGCGGCATACCAAGTCCAGTCCCATTGGTCGTGTCTGGGTTGGGTTGTCTTCCAAACATCTTGAAAAGACCCTGCTCCCGCTGGGCTCCCGCTGGGCTCCGTGGCCATTGCAACTCGATGGGATCCTGCAAGCCTTGCGTCCTCGGGGTCAGGCACTTGCACTCCCTAGGGCTCCGGAAGCACCTTCGTTTCGTGTCGGTGGGACTGGGGTGGGTGGGTGCCAGGAGGGTCCAAACACCTTCTGATGTACTTGGAGCCCTAGGGACTATGTATGAACATCATGTTCAGCTTTGCAAAGCTCAGGAAATTCGGATTCCATGACATCGAAAAAGCGGCTCTTTTGGAGTCTCATGCGCTCGCTTGATTCCATCATTCCTAGATAGTTACATCATGTTACCTCGAGTTACTAGTTCTTGAGCTGTTTTCAACCTCCAACAAAAAGAAGTTCCTAATAGTTCCTACCACTTTCTCGCCTTGCCCCTATGACCAGTAACTCACTGGTGAAAAACCGCTCAACCAGGTCACCTCGCCTTGCTTGTCTTTGGTGGCCACCAGGACACCCGTCATCTGAAGCTCACCACACATCACCTCCAATGCCTTGCCGAGCAGCTGGTGGCCGCGGCCCCAGAAAGATTTCAGTCATTTAGATGTTATTTACGTGGGTGAAACCGCGGGTCATCTCCTCATGGAGCGGAGCTTCTTTGGACCCCCCTCAAAAGGAAACAATTCTCCATCATTGGCAGCCATCAACCCTCCATCAGCTCCGCACCCTCTGGTCCATCGAAATTCCATCTAGCAGCGCTGGAATTCGCCTTGATCCCCAAAGGCATAGGGTCCATGTTGCGGGAGGTTTCATCTTTCTAGGGTGTGGTTCTTCATGTGTCGTTGCGCGCGCACAACCCGACCCAAGAACCTGCGCGCGAGGTGGGTCATGGTACCAGTAACCGGTCGGTGGTCATTGGGCGGCACATGGACTCTCTGTGCTTTTCTCCACTTCGAGAACCTGACTGTTTATGGATCATTCTGCATCCGTGGGCAGAAAGTGGGCCTTTTCCATCCTTTTCCTGATTTGCAGGCCTGAACGAAGGGTTCAAACAATGGACGCAAACAACCAGTGGCCCTCAACTTGGAAGCCTTTTGTACCGTTGCTGCCATTGGCCTGCGGTGGCTGGTTCCCAGATGAACCCCGCAATGCCCGGAAAGCATTGCTCCGGAACCGAAGGCACCTCCTTCACGAAACTCCAGTTCTTAGCAAAGGAGGACCACCCCACGCAGTCCTCCCACGCTTTCGTTGGTGCACGGCCAGCCCCTCACTCGCTTTGTGAAAATGAAAACCTTGGGATGGACTTACACGTATATACTTATATAATACACCAAGCAAAATGTGACCAAACGATGGCCAGCACTGTTGGCCCAGCCCAAGGGCCGTTGAGTTAGGCACTTTCAAGACTGTGTGAAACACATGGAGGAATTGTATATAGGGCATACCTGCAAACGACCGCAAAGTATAGGGCTATCTAAGCAGGGTTACAAAAGAAAAACATGTGTTTTTTCGAGAAACTAGGAACGGGAGGCCAACCAACAGTGTATTTGGACACTGGCTACCGTTCAAGGGAATAACCACAATTCAATGAACATACCCCTAGAACCATCACAGAAACACATGTCCAACATATTATCTAATAAGTATATAATTATAAGGATGAAATGTTAAATGAAACAAACGTCCTAAATACCGAACCATGAACATACTCCCCAAGAAGCAATTTAGATTGAGGATTCTAGCAAAATAAACTGAAACAATAAAAAAAACGAAGGCCAATTATAAATCTCTATAACTATCTCTCTCTCTCTCTATATATATATATCTATATGTAGATATGAAAAACATATATATATATATACTGTAGATACATTATCATGTTCCATATAGCTTTACATGATCAACGAAGTCACCCACTAACGCCTCGGCCGCCTCGCCCTTTCAAAAACGCCCCGCCCCCGGTCCTGACCTCTGGCCCCGGTCCTGCGCCACGTCCTGGTCCGAGCCCGAAAAGGTGAAGTCGTACTTCTTCGGCAACGCCTCGGATCATGGGCCCCGCCCCGTTGCCGGTTCCGTCCGCCGAACGGGACGCCGAAAGGGACGGCCCGAAGCACTGGAAGCTGGGCAAGTCCAGCGTCACTTTGACCAGGTCGCCGAGTGATGCCGCAGTAAATGATCACCATTTCTTATCTGCAGGGAATTACAAAAGAGAAACATCACAATTAATCTTATATGGTGATATCCTTCATTTAATTTATTCCAACATCAATTGTTTTAATGCTTGCTCTTGCATTTCTTTTTATCTATCTCTCCTTTTTTGGTCTTAGTGTTAGCCTACAGATTTCATAAAAATGCAAGAGCTATAGTAATAATAGAGGATGAACAAACCCTGCTGTTACACTGCTGTTTATTACTAAAAGATCCCATAAAGACATAAATGGCAGTGGTTCATTCTTCGGAGGGCGCAAATCAACGTTTGTCGTGACGATGCATCCATCGGAGCAACCTTCCAAACTCTCTCCCACATGGCTTGTGTGAGCCCATGACATCTATTGAGATCTCCACTTTTGGAATCACCTAGACCCCCACAGTGCAGGTCAAGGACAAGGTTTAACCAGACTAGGTTATCCTTGGACCGGTAGAACTAAAACATCTTCTACCATCTTCTACAAATCCCAAAAACACAAACAGGACTTGGAGCACCTTTGAAGCCCTAGCGACAGGCACAGGGCCCGGCAAGGAGAAGTCCGACTGGGACAGCAGCAGGAGCTTCACCTCAACCACAAGCGGTGCCCGGTGGCTACAGAGCTGATACGACTCAGAAACAGGCAAACCTTTGATGCAGAAACATAGGTAGCAAAGTCTTAGGCAGGCAAAGGGTTCTGCGCAATTCTTCATTCTGCGACCCAAGCCTGCGAAAGAAAAAACAAAAAACAAAAACACACACACACACACAACACACACACGCACCCAAAAACGTGCGAATGCAAAGTCCTTCATTCAAAATGTGTGAAGCTAAATCAGTGGCGCTACACACGTATCGACAACGTACACGTTCGCCCTTCACGGCGTCTCTGCTTTGTAGAAAGAAGAACATGGTGCCCATGAGCCCGAATGGGCACCCTGGTGGTGGACACTTTAGGAACAGTCTTGAAGTTCCACCAAAGGATTTTCTGTCATGTCGCCCACCAGCCGATCGTGTATTATGTGCGAAACCGCAGCAGCTTGTTTCAAAAACCCCGTGAAACCGCGCATTCGGTCGGACGCTCTTGTAAGTCGCTTTGGTTCCTGCACTCTTCCAGCACATGAAACACGTGCAGCATATGCGCGCGTGTGTGTGTCCGCGTGTCCGCGTGTGTGTTTGTATGTGTGTGCGCGTGAGTGAGTGAATAAGTGACTCTGAGCGGGTGAGTGAATGATAATGACGGCGGTGAGTGAATCCATCAGAGACTAAGGCACCCAGGCACTCAAGCGATGCAGCCCAAAAGGACTTTCCCATGTCCTCGTGCCAGTGTCGGTTTTTTGATGAACTCATTGAAGACCGTCACAGTCCAAGCCATGAACCCGAATTCGTCCCTTGTTCCAAGGCCTGAGTTTCTCGCAGTTCCGCGGAAAAATGACCATGCGGATCTGTCCACTGCGCGTCCACTGTGCGGGTTGCATCTCCTTTTTCCCACTGTTTGAAGGTCTCGATCCAAAGAGATCACTGCAGGTCTGCGCCAAGTGCCGCCTGTGCACCAAGGTGCACAGGTGCACACGCCTCCCAATGCCTCCCACCTCATCGGAGCGCTTCCTTTCCAAAAGCAATTCAGTGAAATGTTCGAAACCGATATTTTTCCCTAACGCTTCCGGTGTCCAGCCAAACCTATTAAGTATAGTGTAGGGTTGTCCAGCCAGGTGAGCGGAAGCAGCTGGTCGGTTGAAAAGGTGAACGATTGACCTTCGCTCGCTGAGGGCCCGCCCGTTCCCGATGCGACGCGTTTTGCCAAGGTCACATGACTTGGGAAGAGCGTTTCCTTGGAACATCCAACGAAGAAACACAAGCGGAGCAGTGACCACCGACAGCGGCCCTAGGGCTTCAAGTACCTCAGGTACGGTATAACTGGACCCTCTAAACTCACCTCAGTCCCACCGACACGAAACGAAGGTACGACTGGAGCCCTAATGTAGACTCTTGATTAATCAACCCCCCCCCTCCCCCCCCTTCAACAATTGGGGCCTCTAGAATAATATGCTAGAAAAACAATCAATTGATAATTAAATAAGGAATCCTTAGCTAGCTACCTCTGGAGCTACTCTGGCAATACTAAAGTGAAAGGAATCAAGAAACCTGACTTTGAAGACATCTGGAATATTAATTAGAATAAAAGGGAATGAATCAATGGAAATAGAACTAACTTTTTAGATTTCAATGGAAATCTAAATCCAAAGACCTGCAATTTCAATGGTAAGTAAAGCAAATCAAAAGGCAAAGAAAAGGAATAAAGATTTAAAGCC